TAGCAGTGGAGAGGGCGAAGAAAGAAAAGCTGCGCAAATCTGAGGAGGAGGCCATGCGGAAGGAGCTGGCCAGAACCTCCTATGCCCAGTGGGAGTCCCGAAAGGTGAGATACCACTTCTCCAGTGGCTATTGCATTTCAGAGAAGCTTAAGTAAATCAAAAGTAGTGGTTACGGAGCCTATCGGTACCTGCGCTCCAAATCCGAAAGTGCCCCTAGATTCCAATACTGAGGCACTCGCTTCCCGGAGCTGGAATCAGCCACGGCTGGTTTATTCTAGTGGCTTTGAAAGAAGTCAGAAAAAAACCTCAGATACTAAAGCTAGGTCAATTTTTCACAAGTCCAAGCTGATAAAAGCAGTTATATTGGGAAGAAATGATGGCCGTATAAATGTGCTGGTTTGCCAATGAAAAGCTGTCGGCTAATGCAGGCTCATTTTGGGGAGATTCCATTAAACGGAAACAAGGTGTCTCCCATGCTTCAGAATCCTTATCACGGATACACTATTAATCTTAAATCCGCTTTTTAAAAAAACGAAAAGATCTCAACAACCAATGACAAAAAAAATTTGGCCAACTCTTTGTTTTAGGCGTCTGAATCACAAAGTGCAAAGACCACATCTTCATTGCATCTTACCACCCACAAACCGCCATGGCGACCAACATCTGGGCGCGTCATACTACCCTAAAACTGGGAGTCCCACACATTTGCCACCTCCTTTTTCACCTTTTGAAAGATCGTCCTAATGAGGCGAGTCTCATCTGCACTTATTCCCATTCCAACTCACCCCCCAGATGAACGGTGTCTTATTTACCTGTTTGCTAGCGGAGTTTCAATTAATGCACATACATTCTAACGAGTTAAGCTAGCATCACTTACTTGATGAAATAACTTTTATTTACTGTAATGTGAAAAAATTTGTGTTTGTCTATGTAGTTGGAGGGTTAACGTAGCTTCCATTAAAGGATGGTTAAAAGAAATCGAATCTCCAATCTCTGGAGCCTTTTCTGAGCATGGTTTCAATCCAGAGCAATGTAAACATACAAGGTTAACTAAACTGAGGAATACTGAAATACGAGTAGGTTAAAATCACGATTCAATGAGCACATTGAGTTGCAGCGCTTTGAATGTTTCAATGCAGATCCACAATGCATCAAGGCAAATTAGGCGTGCCTTCGCTACTAACTTTAATTAAGTAGAAGAGATACGTATAGACAACTATAATTATAGCCATTAGAGTGCAATTCTTCTGCTAAAAGGAGGCTAACCTGACTGCCGCATTAAAATCCGCCCTACTTGAGCATTTTTATGGGTCACATTAGGAGCCAAGAGCAATTCAATGTACACTTTTACCTTGTAAATGTGGATGGCTTCCGGAAAGGCGACGGGTGTGTAAACCTTGATTAAGTTTTACTAAGCATGTGAACAAAGTGCAATTTAATTGAGACTGCATCGAACAAATCAGGATCCTGCAATTCAAATACCGCGTGACATAGTAAAAGGGACCAGACAAACCCATTTAGCAGAAATGAAGAGCGAGAGCTCAGAGTAGAACCAATAGAAGCGAAGACAGGTGAGAGGTGGGTGGATATCTATTTGGGGGGCAATATTTGATTTTATACATGCACAGATTCCACGTTTTTTGAAAAACAGCCTAGTGAAAATCATTCCAATTTCACGAATACAACCACATAACCGCCTCACCAAATCTACGATCTATGCAAAAACTAGGAATGGAATAGCATGAGAAGCAGGTATCAAATACCATAAATACTAGAAGCTTCAAGAAGGCGGCGGGCGAATAGGTTCATCTAATCAGAGGGCTGTTCAGCACGGAGTTTTTGCAGCTGTGCGGAGACAAGTCGCACAGTGGCGGGAATGGCGTTAGTGATTTGCTCCTCGACACACTTGTTCACGCACACTAGCGTCTCCTTCTGCACCAGAATCCGCTGCGCCTCGGTCAACGTATCATCGGCTCCCTTGAACTTGTCATGGGCGCGGTGTGAGCACTCACGCACGCACGTCTGGAAACGACTCTACAATATGGCAATTAAATGCTGTTCCAATAAGACGATATTTGTCCTAACTTTCCATCTAGGTAAACAGTTTCTTAAGTCCTCGTGATTTCGTTTACCACTCTAGCGCTACGGCATTCTACCCGTGCCTATAACCTCCCACACTGGTAGCTTGTTACGTCTCCAGAAATGACTTTGAGGACAATGCCATCTCGAGGTGGCAGTTTGAGCCCATAAACCCACTTTGCGTATCCATGGGCATGCAATATGACCGATGCGTTTGAAAACAGCTCTAAAATTGGAGGCCGTTTTGGTGCGAGACCAACAATACTAACGGCATAAGTGAACTCAGACCCCATTCTGAGCTCGATCCATCGTTTTAGGTATTACTGTGCACAAATGACAGATAAGCATGGTTAGTAGTCTGTTTTGAGAGTAGTGCCTAGATATTCTCAGTTTCATGCAAATTAATCAAAGATTCGTCTTCAATGCAAGTGTAGAAGAAGCAAGCTACCGGGTACCGAGCTTAAGAGCAGTTAATAGTGTTAACGGCTTGAGGATAATCGCGCCAATCTCGGTTTCCAATTCTGAATAAACACATGTGTAGGGAGTAATGGGGATAATTAATTAGGGCAGCGTTACTATGCACTAAGCATATTTAGCTATTTTCGTTGTCACAACGCCATTAATCTATTGCCACTGTCATGTAAGCGCAGCAAGCGGATGTAAAATGGAAGCAAGCCACCAAATGACAAGGACATGACCGGCCAAAACGCTAGGAATCATGAACATTGGAGGCTTTGTTAAAACAGATTACTTGTGTGCATGTAATCGCAATACAATGAGATATGTTTTTACAATAAGACTTATCCTGCGGCGGACATACTCCATCAGTATTATTTAATAAAGGCTATCAATTTATTTATCAAGTTTGTAAAGTAGTCAACTAGTCCTATAAACGAATTTTATTTTACATCAGAAGCGGCAAAAAACGATGTTTTCTACAAACTTGAAGATGCTTGTCTATTAATGAGGTTAAAAGATGGTCAGTAATAGCAAAATCACAACTCTTACATACCTGAAGCTGATTCAGCTCGCCTTGGACTAAACTTTGAGCAGCGCTGACCGGTTTCTCACAGTGTTCGATGCACGACTGAACTTGCTCGGTATCGAAGTCCTTGTTATCGCAGCACTTTTTGCCGCAGCCAAAATAAATAGACTATAAGTGAGCAGACATGAAGGGCGTACACAGTAAATACCTGCATTTTGCGCAAAAATTTGGTATCCCATTCCTTGATTGCATTGGAGATGGCTTCGGTATACCTGTTTTGCATCTTTTTGGCCTCATTTTCAAGCTAAACAGGTATGACTTACAGAGTCAAACAAACCATCATCGGATCCATTAGGGAACGTAAGGTACTGAAAGCCTAAAAGTGAAAAGAGATACTGGTTCTGAGATTAGAACGTGCGACTTCATGATAATACAAATGTTAGAAGGCCAAAAAGTCTGCAACTAAATATAGACCAATACACAGACTAGGGATTAAACAATTAGAACGCCGAAGCGGATAAGTGAAAGTTTTGCAAATAATTTGCTCCAAACAATACAATCAGAAAAACCCGTAATTTTGCATGTCAATGAAAAGTGGAACGTAAAATAATCACTTTGGAACACAACAAAATTCACCACATACTCCACGCCTAGAACACTCAGATCTTCCACGCAACTCACTAACACTTGTACATGCAAAGGTAACAGAAATAAACGGGATTAAAGCGCTATCCACAACATTCAGACTACCCTATGCTTCTATGAACAAGGCTGCGTATTCACTATGCGCACGGGGTATCACAAGCGTAAAAGCGTTAGCCACAAAACTACTTTTTGTAAGGACAATTACGCACTTCTACGTACACCTACAAGAAGTCAAAACAAGCAAATAGAAGAAGGCTACGACCCACCTACCACGCGACGACCGGTCAGACTTTTAAAGTGCATGGTCTTAAACTCACTTATTTAAACAAAATCGCAGTTGTTAAAGTCTTAGAAGTGTGCATCCAATTGTTAGTGAGTTACTTGACCACTTTTTACTTATTTTGCATTTTGCGGTTATAAAGTTTTACTTTACTGCTTTTGTGTAGTGGTACTGTGACTCCATATTCTTGGGATACGAACTCGCTTATTATGCATTGTAAACTCTGGTATTGTTTTCAAAGCTTCGGTGAATTACGCAATTATAGATTAAATAGCCTTTAACGCAAAAAAGCAATTAGAACTGCCATCTGCAGAGGAATTGTCGGACTCTGGGAGTTACTCAATACAAAAACAGTCGAGCTGATTAGAAAGTGGAGGATTTTGTCTCTATCACATTGCTTTGATAAGTTTACACTGCGTTAGACTACTTGGCCATCTAAGTCTCGGCACACTACATCCTTGAGCGGCATGGCCTTCTGGCCATATCGGTAGCCTCAAGTGGTCTCTACATCAGTAATTCATATTTTACTGCATTGCTAAAACTTTGTACGAGTTCAGAAGTGGCTATGGGCGCTACATTATAAGCAAATAAATGAACGATTACAGAAGTCTTCCCATTTTGAGAAATGGTTGAAACATCTTTAGTTCAGGAGAGTCCAGTCATCCTGGGAATCCTCTAACACTTTTGGCCACATTAACAACCACCTCCACATCAGTACTGGAATCCATCAGCCGTCATTGCCTTGTTCATGTGATGTGCTTACCGTACCACACCTCATCGCGTCACTGACGCTTCGTTAACTATTGCGGGCATCACTGACACAATTGCATGATTAGATTGGAAGTCGTGTGTGGAAGCAAGTATTGCCTAATACTTCTGCCCTGTCCATGTTGGTGATGTGCACAGTGGGCTATGAGTGGATGTCTATCAGAGGTCCTCATCGGATATCCAGTCGTCAATATGTAGTTCATGCTACTACCTCAACCCTTCAAGCCTACAGAGCGAGAAAAAACGAATGCATGTACAGTAAGTACAATTAATCTATATCTAAACAAAAAATAATTTTAAACAGAGAATGTACAATCCGCGAAAGACTTGAAAGTGTGGAATCTGAACTAGGTACAAAAGAAGGACAGCAAGGTAAGCTGTTCCCAACTCAGGAATCAGTATGAGCGGACGAAGCGGCAGCGATAAAGGGGGCGCGGTTCTTAAAAACTCGGATACACCCATTGCAGTCGGCGGAGACAATGACCTCTCCCCAGTAGGTAGCCACCTTGCTGGACATCTTCATCCGCATCGCATGATCCGTGCCCGTGCGCCGCCGCGCCGAGTTTCGACGCAGACGCCTGTCAAGCAGGAGGTCGGGGTTAGGCAGGAAAATGGCCACTGTCACCACCGCATCGTGCGCCTTGATTGCCTCCCAGCAGTTATTGCGGTCCTTTCGAGTTGAGGAGAAACGCGAGACGTTGAGGAAGTCCATTTGCTTGCGCCAGATGTAGAAGAAGCAGTTCTCTGAGCCTGAGATTAGGTAGCGGCCTGTGGCACTGTAGGACGGCGAAACATTGTAGTAGAATGAGGAACGTTTAAGTCAAACCAAGGCTTATAGTTCTATAAGTTATGCCTGTGAAAAGAAGTAATGTGTCCCCCTAATACCTTTCGCAAATATCTACTCGTAGAGAAGATTTAAACAATAACAGGGTAACCAACATCAGCCTCTCAATCACCGCAAGACGTTCAAATGATGTGAAATTTACAACGACATCCGTACATGTGGACGACAAGGCGAATCTTCTCCGTGGTAATTCTCACGCAAACACCAAACCGGTGATCCCTGTGGACGTTCAGTGGAGGCAACAATAAGTTCCGATTCTGGACTTCTAATCGACGCATAACCTCCTATGAAAGGCCACGAGACTAATGTTTCTGTGGCAAACGTGGATACACCCAGCAAGTACGAGCATCTACATCCTCGGGAAGCTAGTGCGCGTTGCTCACTATGACAGATCCTTACACTTAACCATTACACCAGTTTCAACCAAAGGAATTAAGAGAGAAAATAAGATAGGGGAAATTATTACCTAAAAGATGCCCGAATTTGACTGGTTTCATTGAGAAAACCACGATATTTGCACAGCGTGTGATAATCCCTTGCATCGATCAATCGCACACGGGAGTCATTAGAGGTTACAAGGATCTATCAAAGAAAGACAACAATAAAACTTCAAACTTTAAGTCCGGTCAAGTTCAACTGATAGCTTCAGAGGATAATGCACACTAAAGGCATAAGTCAAAATAGGTGAGCTGAAAACGACATTAATGCGGCAAAGTTGGAACAACTCCTCACCTACCTTATTGGAGTCCGTGGGATCAACCTCAATTGCAGTCACGCGACACTGCTGACAACGGCCAGAGACCGACTTGACCGTAATAAAAGTAACGTATGTCAACTAAAACCAGACCCCAAAAAAACATAAATTAAAAACACTCAGCAGATCTGGTAGCTCAATTTCTATTAAAGTGTCATTTATAGTCTCTAGACTAGAGTGCACAAAACAACCCCGCGACCCAATAAAGTGGCTGTACTAGGTAGCCATAAATGTCGTAGCAGGAAGGGAGAGGGTGGAGCTGACCTCAGTGTTGAAGAACATTACGCGACCGTCGTAGCTGCCGACAACGACCTTAGTGCTGTCACAGGCGAAAGTGGCGCAGGTGATGATAGTCTTGGGCTCTGCCCCACCGCCCCCCACGGTGGCAGCAGGGGAGGAGGGAGAGGGCAAGCAAGACGGCAGCGGCACGTCCACCCAAAAACGCACCTTCTTGTCTGGGATATTCCACAGTCGCAGCTTCCCGTCCAGGCTGCCCGAGAGAAAGTAGCGATCGTCCTGGAGTAAAAGTAGATGGTAGTCTAATGTACTAGTGCGCTGATTGGACGGCGATTCTGCACAATCACTGTTAATTTATGATGACATCTTAGCCTCTTACGCTTCAAGCACGTAGCTACACTCATCTGAGTATGTTGATGATCAGGCTAATACCAAATTTGTGCGTCTCATAACGTTTTCCGGAATAACTTGAATGGTAGATTGGTGGTAAAGCAATGAGGTGCATCCGGGATCATTTGCTACCTTACGAATGATTATGAGACCAATTATAGCTTGATGGTAATTCCGTGGAAGTTTAGGGTTGATAAGATCTGCCAGCAATCGCATAAATGGATACCGATATTAAGACCAAAATCAGTAGAAATCAAAACCCTTAAACGGAATCAAGCCGCAATAGCTAAGTTACACCAGAATACAGTAAGTGATCCACAACACTCAGAATGAATTGGCTATACTGTAGGATAATGTCGTAAAAGCACACGAGTAGAATGGAGGGTGTATTAAAATTTTCATGCACCTTCCTCCCGTTACGTCAAGCGCTCATTCAATCAGGACTTCAATGAGGAATCTAAATCAAAATCAACGGGATTCAAAACTGTAATTGAAGCCGAAAAATTCGCTTTTAGCACTACAAATCCACAGTTTGCCTTCATTTTCTCCTCTTGGTTGGCTGCGATGCCTCCGACAATCACTAAAACAGCAGACAGCGGAAACAAAAGCGAGCACAACAGTAGTCAAACGATATATCAGGCGGTAACTCCGCCTTAGCACCCAATGGGCATAATCGCGATTGTCATGTTAAAAATTCCAGAATTATGGTCACTTATAGCCATAATAAAGCATGAAAGCACTGATAGCGCCATATCCCAGTCCATCCAACACGAAGTGATAAATCAGATGCTCTACTTAGTGTCTGCATAGCTTTGCTGTCTGGGGCAGAGAGGTTCCAGAAAATCAGCATAACAATAAGCCCATGGCATTGCACGAGAGTGGAGACTATGAAATGCGTGAAACCCGATGATATGCGCAAGGCGAGAGCATAAGGTACCTACACCTCTGTAAATATTGACTAAGCTAACTGTTTTTCTCACCGAAATATCATTATGATATCCAAATCGGCCAATAAATGGTAAATCAAATAATGTGGAAAATTAAGAGGCATCGTTTTAGATCACAAAATCACGAGGGGTTGTAGGAAATTTTTTTCGAGCACACTAACATAGTACGAGCAGAAGATAGTATTTGAAAAAATTGCAACCACGATGAAATTTCATTTACGATTAATGGTGACCCTGAAAGTGGAACTACTCTCTACTATCTTCCCAGTTCAACCACTGTCCAAAAACCAAGTGTCGTGAAATTGGTCTCAGGCCAAGGTCATCCTGCACCTATTTTATTGGTTTGATCCCAATCCATCTAGTTGCTACACTAAGGACACCGATTAGCGCAAGCCACTAGGAAGCAGATATTGCATTTGAAATGTCGGGGTCAGGTAAGAAAACTGGAAGGTCACATATATGTGACGCTGGTAAAAACTCATACCATTTCCGAACACAGGCTCCACCTTGGAATAATCTAATACAGCGAAGAAATTTATGCGAGCAATTCGATAAACAATGGCTTGATGAATTATTAGCAAAGTTCCACTTTAGCAGATGAGCCACGTAGCAGAATAGTTAAGACCAATGGCGACTATACTGCAATGATGGTCGATAAACCTCGAATTGCACACGAATTCGGGAGAGGTTTAAAGTTGAAAAGATCGCCAAAGTGAAAAATGGTCATCAAACAGGAAAGCGCTCTCGAAGGCCAAGGAATATCAGGATGCGCGTGACGTTGACAAGCCTATTATTGCAACGATATCTCACTACTTAAGAAGGCAACCCAGTGAAAAAAGGAACAAATAAACTTATTCCGGCAAACTACAATCTTTCTTTTTGGCCTGAGTATAAGAACAAAACCGCACCTTGGGATGGAAGACGATAGCAGGCACTGTATCATTGTGACTGAAGGCACAGAGACACTCTTGGCGTGAAACATGCCAGAGTCGCACCTGTCGATCCATACCCGTACTCAAGAGAAAGAGGTTCTTCGACCACGCCAACTCGGTGATTACACTCTCATGGCCACGATAAACCAGTAAGGGCTGGGGATGGTAGTAAGCTGATGAAGAAGAGCATCGCGACTGTGAGTTAAGCATGAGGAGGTCAGAGGGTGAGACCTCGCCACGACTGCGTGTTGACACGGAGGACGTCTCAAGGAGGCCTGAACTGCTGCACGAACTGCCACCATCCTATAAAGACACATGACAGAAACAACAAAAGGAGTGTAAACACACACGTGGAAAAGTGCAATGGGTGATTAAGTCAGACAGAGTTATTTGTTTATGCAGTTATATAAAGGGGTGTTACCGTGGTGGTACAACACACAATAGCCAGTGACAAGACTATTCTATTGGTATTCAGAACAGTCGGAGCAACTGCTGCGGACCAACCCAGACAACACTCGTCAAAATTGCAGAGAACCGAGGTAGTGCATGCATAAAACAGCGGTGAGAGATCTGAATGATGTCAGCATTTCCAAGTCGGGTCTACGTGTGTCAGCAATGATCCCAAATATTCACAACGCGAAACTTCACGATTTTAGTTAATTGACGGAATACATGTCGTGGTATCTTATAAGAGATAAGTGTTTCTGTGACAACCGTGGCCAAAATCATCAGACACAAGCGTTTGCAGTCTCAGGAAGTTAGAGCGCGTCTCGTACTATGATGGCTTTTTGCTTTCACCCACCACATAAGAGTTAGGTGCTGCACTTTGTTAAAAAGCCTTTTCGATTAGGAAGGTCAGGGTTTTGTGGATCGCGGTATTACATGTGAAGAAACCCGAGTACGGGCGCATCGTTTCACTCATGAGACAAAAGGAGCATGAAGGCCGTGGAGTCATGCGGACAGGTGCATCATCATTTCCTTACTTCAGCTGCGATGATAACGTTAAGTGGAATATGTCAGGACAATTCAGTCTTGCTGACAAGTTGATATGTGCAAAGGGAACTTTTAAGATATTAATTAAACGGAATGAAGAGGGATTAAACAGAGAAAAAAATGGTTTGCATTTCTTGAAACGTGCTCTTTTCGTAAATTGTGGAAACTCTGAAGTCGCAGTTTAAAATGAACGTTCATCAAAGAAGATAAAGCGGCTTACATCCGTTCGACTAGTGGAGAATGAGACCGAGGTCATGCTAACGGAGTCGATATCAAGGTCATCTGTCATAGTGGAATCGAGGCCGGGGGAGGCTTCATCACCCTGTTGCATTTGACTAGCTAAATTTTAGAAAAACAATTTTGTGACGTTGCTTTACGCATTGTGCGCATTTAAATCACCCGTGCAGACTGACCTCTCTCTTGAAGCATATTCCTGAAGTGGTTGTACCACTGGCGCAGCACCCAAATCCGGATGTTTCGATCGTAACCAGCGGTGGCCTAAGGGTACAAGTAGAAGGGAAATAACTTGTGTGTGATATTCACGGTAGTAGGGTCCACACGCCACAAGTCGAATTACAGTAAAAAAAATTATCAAACGAACACGCCTGTCATAGCTAGATCATGCAAAGACCTTGGAGGTGGAAGTATTGCAATATTCCAAATATTTGGTTGATCTTTTGTTTTGATTTCGTGGGGGCTTAAGGCTCGGTCATTGTACTTCTACTGGGCGACATGGCCTCCAAGTCACGCAAGTAGCCCTCTCCCCCCCCCCCCCTCAAACCCTTCTCTACGTCGCCAATCCATATTCTGCCGAAGCATTATGCCTTCTTTCGCCTTCAGGGAAGTCTCGGGGCGCTATAGTGTAACGTAAGGTGAGCTGGTGCTTTAAAACCTATTTGAAGGAACATTTCAATACAAACTGGAAATAATCATTTAAGCGAGTTTTAATCAGCGGGCGTACAAGAGCCTAGTAGTGTGACTCCAATTGCCTACAGGGCTAACAAACTTGTTTCCTCGTATTGGAAGCAATCACTTCAACATCGTATACGTGACCGCACAAGTATGCCTGTACTAATTGTGGTGCAGTTCTCCTGTAAATCAGTAATAAGGCTACTTTAAGATTCGCATGGGTTATGATGCCTTCGGCAATGAACAAGCCGCTACATGATTTGGCAAGAAGTTGTGAAATTGAAATAAACATTTATCTTGCTGACTGCTGACCAAGGATAAAAGTGAAAAAAACTGTCTTTCCAAGTACAGCACAAATAATAGCCATTTAAAAAATTTATTAGTTCTGAGTCATCATTCCAGTAGTTTAATGAGTAGCATATGCAACGATAAACGAAATCGACATACAGTAAAGGACGTTGATTAAAAATACTATTCAATGTGTAGATTAGAAAATCAAAACCATTTTTATAAGATGACAAGCAGTGGCAAACTCAAATACTTAATGATTTGACACGGTTGTTGGCAGCGTCGCATATGCGTGACACACCAATTTTACCACCTGAACTCGGGTCACAAGTCCTTGACACGTGTTCCCTACTGGATTTATATGATTTGCAGCATCCAATTGCATCATAAAAGGGTTGAACTTAAAACGGCAAAATGCATATTAGTTTGTCCAGAAGCTTGCTTCACCTCTTCAGAACGCTATAAACATCTACAAAAATTGATCCTATTTAGTGCCTTTTTGAAAGAAATGCAACACCAGGGCTGTGATGCTTGCTCTTCCCTCAAGACTCGGGTAGCGAGCCTGTCGAACGTCACTATTCGTTAAAAACATCTTAGTAGGGCGGAAAGGTGGGAAGTTTTGTTGGTTGCTAATACTATCATTCCAAGATTCTTTAGCACCAAAAAGCGAAAACAATCTTCATGCATTGCCTGCTAAAGAAGCAGAATTAAATTGCCAGATTAACAATGTGGGTAATTTACTTGAAAGTCAATCACAACTTTGAAAATCTACTTATTTTGAGCCTTAGGTACCTCAGGTGCTGAGGTCTTTTAAAGTAAAGTGTACGGCCAACAAAACATTTAGAGGGGGCTTGACGAGTCTGCGGAACGATGACAACACTCGAGGCGCGGGCATTATAGTAGTTGAATGAATTCGTAGCACCAGAGCGGAGAGTACTACCTCCTGTTCCACACTCATATTCGTCAAAACTTTTATACGCAAATTCCACAACGTTAATAACATTGAAGAATCATTTACCGCTTACCAAAAGCCGACCACAGGGTGAAGAACGCATAGCCCAAATGGCGCCCTGGAAAAGCAGTGAAGATTAACCAAATCAGACGCTGGACGAAAAGCAGGTTACAGAAGTACCTACAATGTGTTCATTGTCCATCTTCTGCACAAGTTTGATTTGGAGGAACTCCTTGTGACCCTTGATTTTCCGTGAGCAGCGTAACTACCAAGAGGGAGGGGAGTAAGGGAGTGGCGCAAATAACAGGTGGAGAGGAGGTTAGAAAAGGGAAGAAGGGAAACGCACTCTGATGCCCTGATTTCCAATGACTTCGTCATCTTCCTCAGAAGAGGCTTCGTCTTGATTGAAAACCGTGGGAGAAAAAAAACTTGACTAAGTCGCGCCCCAAATTACACCTGTCATGAAGTCTAGTTATTACAGTGCATGAATGGAGATATCTGAAGTCGAATTACTTTTGAACTTTTTTAAACCAGAAGTAAAGCCACGTGATGACCAAGTTTGATGCCCGGAAGCTAACGCAAGGGTGACCAACTCGTTTCGTGAAGCAGTATTAGGATATACGAGCTCATGGCGAGGTGAAGCGGAATGGCTTTTGTGTTGATCGCATTCACCACAATGCAGAAGAATTTAGTCTTCCGCGAACCAGCTTTCGTCGCAGTAGCAAGTATTTCTATTTACACCACCTATGTCGTTAGTCTTCCAAAACTCCTGTAAGTCAGTAATAAGGGGCGTAACCAAGACGCTGCTGGAGAATGACAGATAACGAGCATAACTATTTCTGAGCCAGAATTAAGCATGAACAGTCAAGTTGGATGAAAGGATGCGGATTCCACAAAACAGTGCGTTAAAATACGCAATCACGAAGGTACACTGTACTAGCAAGCCACGTAAACAACAAGTATCGAAGTGTAAACACAGTCTGGAGTTAGCTTACTTTTAGCCTTCGTAGCTGAACGCACTGCATTTACAGCCCCGCGAAAAGCCGTGTGAAGTCGACGAAAGCTGAAAAATTAAAAACATTGAGCCTTTATTTGAAAAACAAAAAAAGACGTGTTTTTTCCGTAATACATTGACACACCTTTTGGACTCAAAAACCCCCTCTGATTTACATAAAATCCACCGCATCAGCCAAACACCACTTGGTAGTTTAAAGGCGAAGCACGAGATGCACCTTACCCAGACAAGAAGTTGGGATTCCGATGAGAGCCGCTGTGCTCACTATCCAGTTTTTCTAAATCGCCGCTATTGCGTAGACTCGATGTACTGAAATGAAAGCAGAAGAATGATCACCGATGCAGATACAAAAAGAATGGAGTGGATGGAAATTGTGAAGAGGATGGGTAGGGTGCTGAGAGTGGGTTAAGCAACAGCGTGAACCAGTGGGAAGTACCAAAAAATAGCTTACTTGGCTTTCAGCGTGGCATCTCGGCTTGAAGGAGGAAAAAAGGCATCAAAGTGTGAATGTGAGAAAATCCAACTTCAATGAATTCGTGGCATCAGCAAATATTTCACCAAGTAACTTCATAAGCGATAAAATGAGAGTTCAACGCTAGCACTAACTTAGACCACTTCAGATTCAAATGGACGGACTAGAAACGAAGATAAAGTAGATGCGATAACTTATTTTCTCGAAAATGTTACATTTTTAAAGCATTGTGAAGTAATAAGTAGTGAAAATTTGCTTCTGCGAATTCGCAGACCCTTGTATGGGTAAAAACCTCCACACGTATCAGATCTGCAACCTTATTTAGGTGATAAATATCTCGAAGGAATTTTAAATAAGATACTGAAAGCGTTCGCTAAGCATATTTAGGAGTTATAATGAACATAAGAAAGTAAATCCAAAAATAAGGCGGTTTCTAACAAGTGAAAACACTTCACAGCAAAAGAATGAGGACCACCATAAAGAGGCTCATCTAAAACGTGTAGAATTCATTTTTCGTTCTGGTGAGAAAATGTAAAACTAATGCATAACCCATAAAAAAAACTGGGGGTTTGGTTCAAATTGAAACTGACTGCGGAATGAAATTGAAAAAAGAGCTGAGAAAACTGAAAAAAAACAAAAGATATTGGGAGCACATAGCGGAGGGGCAGGAGGGTCCATTATTCGCGCATCCCTTGAAGAATGTTTACAAAGGCCCATCTCCTCGCTCTCCCGACAATCCAGCAGCAAAATCTTAGGAGTCATAGCACCCATGGGGGCACATTGCTTTGCGCACAATAAGCCTTCAAATTTCATTTTAAACCATGAAACAACAGAGCAAATGTGAATAAAACCCATAGAAATGTGAAGTAATTTGTATTAAGCTAAAATCTGTAGTACAAGTCATTTTCAATATAAAATGAAATAGAAAACTTATACACAAGAAAAGTTAAGATTATGCGTAACTACTCGCGCATCTCACCAGGACTGAAACACTGCAACGATTTGCGGAATATTCTAAAACACTGGCAAGAAAAAAAGTAAAATAGTTTGATAAAATCGCAAGTTTAAGAAATCGGTACTGCTGTTCTAGGGAATAGAAACATCGGATTGTTTAATAAAACCAATTAAAAAGTATGTACGTATAAACCATTGGCCTTGCCTGCCCATAATTGAAAACGGAAAGACCAGGAAAAAACACAATAAAGCGACGATATGCTGACCGGAGACGATTCGTTTTTAGATTATTTCTCTAAACAAACGAAAGGTAAAATAATATTTCGATAATAGAAAGTAGTCCATCCGCCACGGCCCATCATGACTGTAGAAGTGCCCCAAAAATTACAGTACCAAGGCGCCAACCGATCAGTTCAACACTATTCCTCAAAACAATTAATGTGTAACACCCTCTGCATATAATTAGAAAATGCAGATGAAATTCCAACCCGAAAACATTAACTGCCATTCACAAGCATTATTGTTGGCGTCACATTTCTTAACGTATTACAAGGATGTGGTAAAAATGACAACTGAAATCGCGTTAACATGTCGATCGTCTGCTGCTGTACAGGCCTTACGAGAAGCAGAAATCCACTGAAACACAACGAAAAAAAAACTAACCGATCTCACATCATAGCGATACTAATCCTTGAAGCAAATAGGCCTCCGAATTTTAGACGTTCAGTTCCCTACACACGCAACTCCGAAAGCATGAAGGGATCGACTCGCCACGTGCTATATAATGAACGCCAAAAATCTACCAAAAGAAGAGCCAAAGCGAACTGGAGTCGAGGTTTTTCTACGCGATCAGTGGCTCAATATGTACCAACAGAAGGTCCAAGTCTTCGCAGATAATCCCCTAAACGACCAATACAGTTCCATCTAAAAGTCACTTTAGACGCCATATCAGATAAGAAAAAGCACAAATGCATCGGAGAAAAAGGGCGGAAAATCACAACAGAAGAGGCCCACCACTTGTTGGTATTTACCAAAGCAACCAAAACCTTAAATTCTATGTTTTCACATCCCACACTCAGGCAGAAAACTAGGTGGGATTTTCTTTTGAAAGCGTGAACTATCATGCCAAGAGCGGAATTGCACCGAAATGACTCAGCAATAAAGAAAGTGTTAAAAGTTCTCGAAACAATTGATATATCCTAAGTACAAATTCCTGCGGTCTCCTGCTTATTTTTTTTATTCTGATTGGCCGAATCACTTCACCTCACAAATACTTTCACAAAGATCATTGGTACATGTGAGTTGTGACCATTTTCCAGTTTTCGGGATAAGGTAGCGAAGCTTGCCCTTTCTTGCCTTCGGCTAATTTGGTAAGTAGCCAAGGCTTCGGCCAGTCCATTGAGGGAAAACATGCTCTGCATCCATGGCCGTGCTTCTATTCGCAAGTTCGTACCACAAACTATAGAGGTCCTAGTCAATGAGTGCTTCGCATTCCATTACGAACGGAAGAAGTGAACCGAAGTAAAGCCATAAGACACCGACCCAGGACTCCACTAATCAACCCATACACTGTGCCCTACACGAGAATTGGAGATCTACATGCACTTTTATCGCGAAAATATGACCTGTCACCTAAACACCGTTCTAGGTTCTGTGTCCGATAATAAACAGCAAAAAAAACAAATAAGGATAGGGGGCCTGCAATTTTTAGATACAGTACTATCTTGAAATCACAGACAATCCTCTTCTCTATGCCTCATTACAAATGGTAACACGACAGCAAGAAACCAAAGATGGTAAAAAGTCAACCGAAGCCCAAAAATTTTGCCGATATTTTTCTAGAGAATCAGGGTCTCCAGTTCTAGTATACACACCTCATGCAGATAAAGGTACGGAAGCAGTTATTCCAAAAAGTACAAAGTTGCAAAAAGGTAGTTACAGGCCAACCTGAGGGTCCGAGTGCGGTAGTCTAGTGACATGGGGTTGACACTGCTGCCGGGAAGGGTGGCCGCGGCAGCCTTGGCTCGCAGCATGGCAGGAGCCTCGTGGGCCGGCAGCAGGGTGTCATCGGTGGTGGCAGTAATTCCTTGGTGCGCCACTGTCCCGATGTTTGCCTGGACGCATGCGTCCATCTGCGACTGGTTATGTGGGGGAGCATCTGGTGGGTGGAGAAGGGGAAGAAATGAAGGCCATTGAAATCCATTTCTCATGGTTTATTCACTATTTTTTTATGTTAGGGTGAGGCGAGGGAACTTTCAGTATGGTCGCGAAGGCTACTATATGAAGAGTGAATCTCGGGAACGTAGAAGATACCTCTTCCCTTTAGTGGAGTGAGATACACGATGAAGATAGAAGTAAGCCACCCTGCAGTTATTCTACTAATGTGTTACATTGTAAAAAAGGCACTTCCAGCAAATTTTGAGAACAAATAGCAAAAAACAATATCCTTTCTCCCTTTAAATGGATTGGAGAAAGAGTGAGGAAAGCGAGAACAGAGAACTACCTTGCAAGTGGATATGTATAACAAAGGATAAAAGAATGGGCCAACATCAAAATACTATGGAATTGAATATCACACTTTATTCTCTACAGTTTAATCGCCAAATTAGCGATAAAAAGGTATGAGATTCGGAAGAGACTCCGAATACTTTCTGCGCAAATAAGACGAGTTCGATTTGGGGCAATGGTGTAAACACTGCCTTGCGGAAGTATTGAATTTGGATTTATGGTTAAAATTGCTAGAGTAGAACAGAGTGCCATCACTTTCCTGTGGACCTGGTCAACAAAATTCATTACTCACCCTCTACACCATTTTAACAAAACGGAAAGAATGAGACTTACGATACTTCAACAGTTAGGCAATTTGCCATTCAAAGATGGAAAATATATATTTCCCTGGCAAAATGAGTGGGGAAGTCAAAGGAATGTAAAAGTACGAAAGCGCTCTTGAAGAAGTAGTAAATCCCCTCCGAAATGCTATCAGTGTTTACTTTTCCGCTATCCAAATAAACAACAACGGAGCCATAGAAAGCATCACTCTACCGAAAAACATAATTGATTCTACGAGCCCCTGTTGAAAACAAGAAACGTTAAGGATCCGGCTCTGAAATGTTTCAGCAATAAAAAGGACCGGTAACCGGTAATATGGCGCATCGTAAACAGGGCACGCCAGTTGGGGTAGAAGAATCGGTAACAGAATGTACTTAGGTTACAGGATAAGTACTACCCAAACTGTCTTCCTCGTAGGCCAGGATCATGTATATGACCCCTACGGATACCTTAAGGTCTTGACTGCACAGGTGAAAAATGAAGTCCTGATAAGAAACTCAGCAGTTTAGCACTACATTTGGTAATTCATAAAAATTACCTGAAAAAGTGGCAGCTGCAGGTAGGAGGATAGATAACTCTTGAACTTATTATTACAGTCGAACTAGTATGCATAAAATACCGAAAACTGATAGTTGGGGACGACTGAAGAAAGGGTAGTAAAGTGGAACTAAAGAAAACATATACATTCCTATTTACCAGCCTATTAGAAACAGAAAGTAGATCCAATATCAACTGCTTGAAAACGGAAGCCGCATAGGCGGAAATCCGAATAACAAAACTGACGAATACCTAAATGCCCAATAAAGAGGTGCGGCTGAGCACAATCTCGATATCAAAAGTAGTCATAGAAACGAAGGAGCATCATTTCACTGAGAAACGGGAAGATTGGCTTAAAATCATAATTAGGAGCCGAGTAGTAATAAAGGCTAGCAATTGGCATATGTATCATGAATAGGGCTCGGTAACCGCGGTCAAATTATTGGTACCAGAATGTGTTCAGTATGAAAATGTAAACGATAATCCGTTTTTTGCTCTACAGGGCGACAGCATTTCCGCAGCCACAATGCATGCATTATGAAGTGTTTACAAAGACAATGCCAGATAAACTGGTATCGCCAAGCTGTAGACATTGAAGGGCAAATTGTATGAAAGAAATTACCGAGGCAGATACTTAGCCGCGTTCTCGAAGACGAAAAATATGCAGATGAAAAATCATGCTCACCTATTTCAGAACCTTCAGAATGATCCAGTAGTGGTTCCATAGGTAGTGGGACCTGAAAAAAAGGTTGCACATTTTCAGTAAATACATCAACTAAGCGAATAAGCAGTGGAATAACATGTTCAGCTCCTATAAATAAAGGAATTTTTAAAAAAGGGCCTAAAACCGTGCAATTTAAATGCATTATGACCGTTAGTGACTACCACACAGTGTGAATAGGAAATAATGGGCAATAACTAAGTGAAATGGTATGATTCCTTTAAAACCGCTTTACACAAGTCTTCCGCGAGTGTCAAAACATCAACCAAAGGATTAGCTAGCCATACCTTGAATTTACCTTTAAAAAACTTCTGAAAACAGTTACCTTTCTTTTACTCTTTCAAAAAAGTTTAAACAATGTATCCATGCAAAGAAGAGAAGGACTAGTTAATTAAAGCATCGAAAAGTTTTAAATTTTTAGTATTTATTCCAACCATTCAGATGAATCGCCCCCAAGTGTTCCATTCTTGCGCTGCGAACAGGTGCGAAACCTTTCAATCATACTTTAAATTCATCCGCCTCAAATCTCTTTAAAGTAATATGCAGTTTTTCTTAAACTATTTGGTCGAAATATGTCAGAAGTAATACAATCAAACCCGAGGAAGAAAAGTGCTGGGAAGGGTAGCTGTAAATGTATCAACTGAAGGCGTTTTGTTGCCATGTTCAAGCGCGATTCCCAGGCATTTCATGGTATTCTCAGTAGAAAAACACTAAAGTAACTACCCCGAAGTATAATCTACAGGTCTTCAGGAAACCTCTATAGAAAGCATTTCAAAGTTCTTAGATCGTTATGATCGAAAAACACCGGGAATGATTCGCTCAGATGCAGCGTATGAATTAAATGCGACGATTGAATGTATGTATCTGGACCAGTCTAATTCTACCACCATAACCCACCTACATTTCTGTGCGCTTCAGAAGAGTATGTCTTTCAGACGGTTAGGCAAGTATACTCCAATGGACGATAACGTAATTCTACCCTGGATTTGTACTCAGAAAGCTATACCTAGAATGTCTTGCGGAGGAAATAATCGCCATTTGCACTAAACAAAGGGGACAGATCAAACCAGTGACATACCAGTGATGAGGCGAGTAGACTACGCCTATGGTAATTTAACAGCAGCTGGGGCCGACAACGCGTAGCATCCAGTGACCACGACTTCATGTAATCCCCCTTGTTCGGACGATGTCGACAAAGACTCACCTCAGGTGCAGAAATTGGTGCAGGACGCTCAAAAGGAAAAGACGCCAGAACGGGGGAGAAGCAGATGGGCTGGACGGTGTGAGACCGGACTTTGGAGCAGTTTTCAAAGTCATCGTTAAAAGGAAAATGAGAACGCTGGAAACCTAACAAGGGAGGAGGAGAGTGTTTGTTAGTGAAAAAAAGGAAATGATGGGCACCTTTTCCTGGGAAAAAGGAACTTTTCTCGGGAAAGGTACGACTGTGAAGACGAGAGGAAGCCATACTGGGCGGAACAGGAGAGAAGGGATCAGAGTCCAGAATCGGCGCCTAGGATTGCAAGAAAAACATTTATCTGTGATAATCAGTAGCTGAACTGTGATTAGTACAAAAAGATATGGATCTGACGATGATACCATTTTGGCAACATTAGACACTACATCTTTGTTTGCCTGAAGTGGATATGTTTGAAGGTATCTAAATATCACAAGCGCAAATAAAATTGCTGACGAAACCAGTGTAAATCCATACAAAATTATCACCGAAATACAAATTAGGCGAGTCAAGCATATGAAGAAAAGATGATAATGGTCGTCGATTTTAGTAACGAATAAACGACACAAGAACAGAAGTCGCTATAATAATCACATTTACCACAGCAGATGCCGACTCGATTGCGTCTAAATGTGAATAGGGTGGAATGTGTGAAGGTCTATCGAATTTCCTTGCGCTATTCTTAAGAGACTCAATGCGATTGCGCCTACATTCGTGCTCCGGTGTAGAAGAACTATTTGCGCTAACAAAGGAACGTAAGGTTGGCGAAATATCTATACGCTGCAATGTCCTCCTCACTGAGTTCCTCTGGTGCGTCAAAGTAAACCTCGTCGTCTGAACTCATAGTCGGTGAAGAAACACCTGCCCTATGACACCAAACAAATCTGAAATGCCGCCCTTCTCCGAATTCGCCTAAACACTCTACCCGTAATAAACCAATCGACAATTTAAGCTTGTTGCACTTAAACAATATTTTGATAAGGTAGATAAAAAATTGAATGTATTTACCTTATCATTGTAATTTACGGTTAAAGTTGCGAATTTCTCTAAAGCACACCCAGCATGCACTTTTAATGCCTGGCACCCTAGAGCCGCCCACCGTACAAGGGCTCCCCCAAGCCACCCACACTTCGCGACTCAACTTTGACGGCAGCTAGCACCCTAAGCGCGCCGCATATCCAAGTGGAGCCCCCCAGCCCGCCGATCACCCCAAGGGGGGAAAACCCGAGACACGCCAACAACTCCTCTAGTGGGGGTAAGATGTACACAAACACGTCTAATGAGAAATGTACATATGGCACGGCCCACAAGGCAAGGGTGATCACGCTAAGGAAAGAGGTCCCGCAATTCGGAAACAAGTCGGCCAAGGTAGGACCGGTGCGCCTCATCAGGATGGCTTTTGCACAATCGCCGCATAAAAATCCGCAGGTTGCGCCCCAATTTAGGACTCTTGCTGGCCACGTAGGCGAACTTTTCCAAGGTCTTCCTGAAGGCTGTGGTGGTCAGCTCAGTGACCACGGCCGAGAGCAGAGCAACGTTGGGTTCCGAATCATCACCGAAGTTAAATTTCTAAGAAATCAAGAAAACGTCAGAGTATTTCGACAGAGTGAAAATGCGGTTCCTTTACCTTGAGCATGGTGAGTGGAAAATCGTATACAGCAGCGAGAATGCCAATAGCCTTGCCTGCGTTGGTCTTCGACTCTTTGGTCATTTCCTCTTTAGCCATGACGTCCCAGAATGCACACCTCACCATGATCTAAAATTAAATTGTGCCTTTATTTGTGGAGTGGCAGTAAGAATAATCGACTCAATCGAAAATGCAGCCATAACGCAAGGGGGGAGAGGCAGAGGTATAGAAAATGAGAGAATTACCGCAAAGCGCCGATGGTGATTGAGAAGAGCACCGAGGACACGAGTGTAGAAGCGATTGAAGGGCTGTTCGGAGACGAGGCAGTGCATGACGATTTGCACCATCTCACGCTCCCGGTGCTCTGTTGCCCGACCACCGCCACCACTCGTACCCGCCGCCAGCACCAGGGCACTCGCTGTGCTCTCCGGTCCGCCGGGCGTAGAGACCAGCACCCTGAAAAGCTGTTGCCGTATCGGTGTAATCAGGCCCAATCGTGTTGCCACTGCCGCCAGCTGAAGTTAGTTTCAAGAACAGGCGATTATACACGCATATAAGCCTAATAAAGCCGATAATTCGATGAAGCGTCGAATGCTGAAGAAATCCCATCACAAACAGTTGCTTCACCACTGCCACTAGAGCGAAGTAAATTTCACCGTGAATCCCAAAAAAACGAAACATATAAGTGGCTTATGACAGTTGCCCAAGATGTTTCAACAACCAATTGAGTAAGTTGGTGCGGGTAAAAAATTGCGGATAAAAGTAGCCAAGGCATTACCCTGGGACAACGAGATTCCCAAGGAACTAACAAGGGAATCACCTCTTAAAATTGGAATTCCGAAGTGTTCCACCGCAATGCTTCTCCTACAATCAAACCTTGCAAGCCTAAAAGATAAACGAGGTGACAATGTCAAGATAAAAAGCCGAAGAATTTACCTCAGGGGATAGAGGAGCATTTTTGGAAACGCCCTGTCTGGTGACCGCGGTGGTGCTAGAGACCGAGTCAGACTTGAGCGCATCGCCGAAAAAAGCGGAACCCACAGCCCACCAGCGGCCTTTGCCATCCTTCGCATCGCGCAGCTCATCCAATCGCAAAGGCAGGCGCGAGCCTTTTCGAAATGAGACACCTAGACGAGAACCGCCATGCAAACCCAATACGTATCCTTAACTGCTACGGTTGGGGAAGCGCAACCTCCAACATTTCATCAGCACTATTCTTCTTCATTTTTGGGTAGCATCTTAACGCCACTATTTCGAGCACCCATCTTTTAAAGCCATTACACTGAATCAGGAACAGATAAGTCAAATGTCTGCAAAAACTTTTAGAGTAGGTGCTTGTTCGGCACTAATGCAGTTTCAATCGCAACCAACGTCACGTATATGTGCCAAACCGATTTCCTGAAGCCCGCCCTTGGCATATTTACCTTAAAGGAGCCAATATTCATCCCTTCTTGAAAATCGCAATGGAAGATCCAAATAACTCACCTTTATTCCAACTCTTCATCATCTTGACAAAATGATCAGCGCTAAATAGTGCTGGCTCCTTCGAATGCTTAGACGACAAATTTGCCACTATGCCCTCTAGTTCTGCACTGAAAAGGAGGAAAAAAGGGACATCATGCAGCCGTTTTTTTCCCGATACATCATGAGTTGGATTACTTTTTTTTCGAAACGAGCAAAAGTTGCTGTGCCGGCGAAATATGAATGTCTTCTGCTTGACGCATTTGTGCCCCCACCCCCCACTTCCAAAAAAAACTCGAATCAAAAACTCACGTTTTTTCGAAATCTGATGGATCTAGCGTGGCCAACGTCGCCTTAACAGCATTCACCAACTGACTACACCGCTCATGCAGTTCCCTCCGCAACACCGAACTCACCGCTATAAGAAACGAAGAACACTTAAAGCGCTGCTACAGAAGGAGGAAAATCAGTCGGCACAAGACACGCACGTTTAACCATCTGGTGAGCAATTTGCAGACCCAATAAATCACCCGACTTAGTGAACTCCTCCACACAGTCCATGATAAGGTCCCCAGTGAGTCCCTAGAAGATTCCGAAAGGAAATATGAAGGAAGGGGATACGCATAGAGAAGTTAGAGAAAGAGGATTCACCCACACCAAACCGATAGAGGTAGGCGATAAAGAGGCAGCGTGAAGCCAGAGCTCCACCTGAATCTTGGAGAGAGTCCAAGGTGACTACAGTAGGTAGTCTGGAGGAGACAAAGAATTCGGCAAAATGCACCACCAAACGCGAGTCCTGACCACTGTGATCGAGACGTGCCTGAGTGCTGGTGAAACATGCCGCCAGTTCCTGCTGCAGCCATCCAACTGACTGGTCTCTATTCAGAGGAAACGACTAGACAGAAGAAAAGGTTGGTAATGACCAAAGAATATCTATTCTTGGCAATACAGCTAAGGCACTTGAACTCGTGCAAAGGACTAAACTAGTATTCAAGGCAATGAGTCGGCTTACTAATAACATTAAAGGGCTGTCACAGATCTAAGTAGTAATATCGGTACTGACGCTGATACGATGATCAGAAACACGAACAAAATAGAGGTACTTGAAGCTCAAACATTCCACAACCGAGCTTAAACAATGCCATCGGTAATAGCGATGTAGCAGAGCGATGAACGGCCAGTAGGCAATGCCAGCTTCAAAACACATTGGCAAAGAAATATATGCATCATTTGAACCAAACAGCAAGGTTTTGAATGATTATTGAAATAAATTCAAAGAGTTCAAAGAATTGAGGATATCCCAAGTAGAACAGTTAGATCATAGCAAACCAAGTGATCACGAAAGGAGCGCAATAGCGTTAGCGATTTAAGTATAAATTAGAAAAACTGTATGACTGATAATAATGACGAAGTTGAACGATACGTGATAAAGTGACTTCTAAGTATAAGCGACACTAGTTTTTAGAACGTTGCCGGTGAAGCAAATGCTGTCTTAAAATTGGGCGATAGGATCTTTGATCTAGTACTGGGCGATAGGATCTTTGAACTAGTACTGGGCGAAATGAGCTCTGCCGTTAAGAAAGTAGACTTCAAAAGCAAAATCACAGCTAACCCAGTAGCCGTGAAAAGACCTTAACTACAATAGGAACATGGCCGAAGAGTTGGCTACTTGAAGAGTTCATGGCCTGTAACTGAACTTAGAAGAGACATCATCGATAGGACAATTTTTTGAGTGAGACTTCCAGGCTTTTCGAACACTGGTTCCCGAAAAAATAGGAGGCAAATGCTTTTTAAAATAGAACAATAAGGTTTCGAGCTAATGATAAGCACAATGAATCGAGGGGTTAATAAGGTTTTATATAAGTGGAACTGTCAATATCTTATCGTCATGAAAAGACTATGAACACACTAAAATATAAACCAGCTTTAAACATTGCAAACAAGTCGTAACGCACTCCGAGTAAAATATCAATCTCCTCGATGAGAACCCGCCGAACAGTTGCACATGGTCGATCAGAAAAGAGGTCCGCAAGTTCAGAAATAGTTTTCGTCATCTGAGCCTCCGACACACAATTCAGCAGACGTCGAATACTTCTTCGTAGCATAACAATAGTTTCCTCATCACCACTGGGCGTGATTTGTGCAATTTTATTTTCTTTTTCCTCGATTTTCGTGTCTTTCTTGAGTTTCGTACCACCATTAATGTCCACTATTTCGTTCACTTCTTTATCTTCACCTCCAGCCTTCCCAAAGTCAAAGACTTTTTCTTCGGGTTCGATGGGTGCATCAGCCTCCGTAGAACCATCCGAATCATCCACATCTTGCCCGTATATATCCCTTGATTCTTCTAAAGAAAAAAAAAATTGTCAAAACACAACACATACTCCTTCTTAGTTTTGTTCTCGGTTCGCCCAAAATCCCGCTTCCGAGCACTTCTTTAGCGGGACTGCTGTTGTGCTTCTCAAAGTCAAGCAAATCTAGAAATAAAGCAACAGAAAATGTTTAACTGTACAATCAAGACCGCTGTCTCTCATCCAAGCCGGCTGTTTTTCAACCCCCGATTTTCGAGGCTTACGACGATTTAGACCAAGTTTTTTTGTAAGTCTTTTAATTGTTTTGTCCTCTTTTATATTATCCTCAAGAAGTTGCTTTCGTCTCTGTTCTAAATATGCCTTTCTGGCCTTCATAGTTTTCTTCAAAGTCCTTAAAACAACAAATTCGCAGTTAGTTATAGCAAGATGAGAACCACAAATAAGGCATTAAACAATGAACGGAAATTAGCCATTTACCTGAGACTTCGTGAGTTTAAAGAAGACGAATTCTAATAACAGAACCTAAACACTACAATACCAATTAGGGTTCTGAGTTTTCCTAGTATACCAAAACACAAGCAAGCGATTCAAAGCATAATGCAACGACAAACTTGAGTAAGGAGCAGTGACAATCACTTATTTAAGAATGTTGAAGCTCAAAGTGACTGCCCTTACAATAACACATGGAAGAGTATACATGGAGGGAAGGAGAGCGACAGCTGCATAATATGTCGAAAAAAAGTAAAGAATATATCAGCAATTGAACAATCTTAGGAGACTTGAACATCTCGGCCCGGTGAGTCATCAAGGTACTCAATATAAATAGGATCCGTACAGCTAGAGATAAAGATGCAATTATCACGGCGAACCAACCATTCAGAACAGGCGAAGTAAAGTGTCCGACATAACAAGCAATTAAAAATATGTCTATATATAAACCACAAAGTAAGCCGTTTTGGCTCTCCGCAAAAAGTAAAACAAATTATTTTATCATTGTAAAATCTTACAAATGGGCAGCATTAATGCGGGATTCTGTTAATTTCTGAGAAGTATTATTAAGACTAAATTGCAACACCGTGTTTATACCGACAGTGTCTCGAAACACTAGTCCGCACTTCAAATGGCCCAGGAGCGCTCTTTAAGCCTGCAGTGTCTTAAGTTTTCACCGAAGTCCTAAGAAGTTAAAACAGTACAGATGGAAATATGCTAATTTGCTAAGCACTTTAGTTCGGGGCTACCATCATACCCCAAATTCCACTCTGCAGAGCAGAGGTACAACCCGCAGAGACTGTAGTGTCTGCATAGTTTAACGCACGGTTGAACAGAGTATCAAACCACCACGCAGCACTATTTCCTTCCTAAGGATTTTTCCAGCTCTCTCCTTGGTCAGCCTCCCTCATCAGCCGTCACAATGTTTTAAGTGTTCTAATAACCACGTTTTTAAACAGAGACGTCAGACATTGGATCGCCTTTCATCTGACAGTGCATATGATGCCAACGACAGTGATGCATCTCAGCATTCCACTGTCTCCTGCGTATTGTTCTGCCTGTGAACCGAGTGAGAAAGGAGTTCATTGACTTTATGTTGCTCAAGACTGGAGTGTATTTTACAATGGGAACATCTCTTTTGCCAGTCTTTGGTTGTGGTAAAACTGGTCTAAAGGCATAGTCACTCAGTGCAAAAATAGATTTAGAGTTAGTTCACTGGGTGAAGTTTTGTTTTCATTTCTTCTTGCTACTTCGTTCCCATTTCGGTGCAGTCCAGCCATCTGTCCGACTTCCATTCAACTGACAGGAACGTAGAAGGGGAACTGCTTGTTCGCGCATTCAACATCTGTGCACGGGTACTATAGCTTCAAAAAGGACTTCCCTGAATGGTTCAAGCCAGTCGTTAATAAAATTCCTGCAAAACACGGGATCACGCGTATTGCCGAAGGCGGATATCATTTTTAGCCCTTTTGGTAGGAGTAGTCTTTACAAATTCGCTAATCAACTCCAGATGCCCTTCTTCAGTGACACTAAGGTTTAGTATGCAGCCACTCGTACTCACAGCTCGCTCACTTGCCATTGCGACTAATGTAGCGTCTGGAGCCTTCCTCGAACCCATAATAGACTAAAGCAGTATAGAAGAACAAAATCACTAATGACTTACAGATGCGGGAGACCACTACCGTGCCCCGTAGAGTACTTGGCAGGGTTGCAGTACAGCCTAAGCTGAAGTGCCTTCGTATTACAACAAATAGTTAAATAAAGTGTTTAATCATTTCACACATAACTCACCTCCAAAGCACACCTTGGCCGAAAACGAAATGGGCAACGTGTTAAACCACCGATCGTATCGACACCCGCATAAGAAAGCAAACTAGAGGCTGCTGATTTGTACCCACACCTTTGAATGATCGTGCGAATACTGAGCAATACAATAGTACATCAGGACAGTATATATTCGTAATAGAAAAGTGTTACAAAGAAAATAAAATGAGTTCAAAGAAGGAGAGAAATCATAAAGGCGCCATACAGTTACATGGAATGTTTGTGTACCCTACGGCGCTCAGAACCACGCCGAACCATTCACAGCCGATTCATCCACCCCACCAATCGTGGTGTAGAGAGTCCATCCCACTGCTCCCACATCCGCGCGGAAATCACCGTCCACAGCATTCTCCACATTGTGCCCTAATTTCTTCAACTCTTCACCCACAGCGGAGTTGAAACCAGGCTCGAGAAGAACGTGGAACTCGTCCCCGCCATTGCTGGTGTGTTGCAGGCGCAGAACAAAGCGCTTCAAATTAAGAGAGTCGTTGAGGGGCAAGCAACCTCCTACAGCAGGCGTGTAGGTCGCCGTTGTCTCTTCAGCAGACGGTAGTTCGTTACCGCCTTCACCACTACTCAGGCCATACCCGTCACCCGTGCATGCCACGTTGGATAGGTAGAGGAAGGATGAGGTGAGGACCTAGAGACAATCAATGACCTCTGGACGGCTGGAATATTTCAACTGATATCATGGACACTAAATAGTTGAGGAGAATTTCGTCCATCCTACTTCACTAGGAAACCCCATGCTCCAAGGAGAAAAAAAAAAACTGGTGGCAACGACGAAGAACACAGTCGAACAACATTAAATCAAATAAGTACAAACACAAATCGTTTCAGAAGAAGACTAGCTTATACGAAAGTGTTATAAAAGATGAACGACCCGTCCAACTAGTAAGTCCGTGTAGATTGGTAGTATAATAGCTGCGATTCTACACAAGTAACGCACACAATCTCACCTGAGAGAGTCCAATCATGCCCTGAATGCCCCCAGAACTGGCCACCACAAAACGGTGGCCGCATTTCTGCTGAGCAGTCTCAAAGAAGACCGGACTGAACGGCAGCAAGGGTCGGTGGCCGGGTGCACGACTGTTGACGCCTCCCTGCCCCACTGATGAGAAAAGACGCTGGGCAGAATTGAGGAGGATACCTGTTCCTGAAACAACTATACCCGAGCCAAAAGTTCCTCCCAGGGTAAGCGATGCCGCACTGATCAACATGTCCGACTCAACGGAGAGGACGAAGGTGTTCGTGTCCTGAGCGGTCTACGAAGCAACAAATAAGGTGCCTTGAAGGCAAAGTTAAAGCACCTATTACATAAGGTAGAAAGTTGATTAATAAATCTCGAGAAGAGTGTCCAGCCAGTGAACATGGCCTATCACCAATACGGCGTTGGGCATTACTATGAAAATGAGTCCGGGATACCACTGGGAAAGGCACCCAACGTAATGAGGGGATCCAGCCAAGTGATAGCCCTACATTCATCGTACCAAGAAAAGGTTAAAATAAATAACATGGATATTTGAGAACAAAAACAAAAGGCCAGACTTCCGGCTCAATAAAAAAATGAGCTCTGATCACAAATGTGCGAAAACACTGGGCTTATAAGTGACAAAGCCAAAATACCCACAATAGGCGGAAAAGTGGCCAGAGGACCTATCGAAGGCTTGAGGAAAAGCGCTTATCGCCAGCAAAGCAGCGAATATTGGGCTGAAAATGACAGCGCCGGAATAACGAGTTTCAAAAGATGCCAACTACATGTATTATGCTTGATGAAGAACTGCTGAAAGAACCACTGAAAATGGCTTGAAGGATTCTGCGTCAAAGAACAGTCTGTGTCGTCTACACGACGTCGAGCATAACACCTCTAAAACAACCCCAGGTTACACAAGGGCTAAAAGAAGGATTAATTAACGATCAACAAATGGGTGAAAAGCTATCCGGCTGAGATTATGTACTCCCTACAAAGCATCAAAGTTCACTTTGCCACCTCACGGTAACAGTGACTTCGTAAACAGTAGAACGGATTAAAATATTCACTGTGGCAGCTAAATGTTCCGCTGAAACTTGGTTAGGAAAGCTGTGCTTAAACGCGCCGTGTGTGTCGCCAACAAAGCGCTGAGAATCGCGCCTCAAAGCGGACTTTGGCAATCGTCATGTCATAGCAACGGCTCCATAAGTGCCAAAGAGTATAAGAACATCAAGGAACGGCTGAAATATGGTTGGGAGGCCTCTGACTTAACGAAGTGTGCTGCCCACAGCGCTGAACCTCCTTATGCAAATGATCTTTAAGCACTACCTTGTGACAACGCTAGCCCCATGAACGCCAGAGACGATCCAAATATTTACTTTAAATGCTAAGAAATTACTGAAAAAATGTCAGAATCTCATCTATAAATAGTCAAAAATAGCTTAGAAGTCAAAATGAAGCCTTAAATATATAAAAATAGCAGTTTCATGGAGGTTTAAGAAAGGCAAACTATCGAACATGAGCAATAAAGAACCAGAAAATAGCGGCTGGAGAACTATTCCCGCACAGAAAATTGCATTTCAACTTAACGTCATCAAGCATTGCTTTAACAATATGCTCTGAGTAGTAAGGTGTGAGAGCTTCGATTTGACGATCATCCAAATAAGTTGTGCAATGTGGATGTCAAAGTAATACCAAAACCCCAGTGAGCACGGTTTAATTTAATGGAAAAAGAAGACATTTTATGGCTTTGATATGCTTAACCACATGGCTAGATATACACAAACGCAATTTTCCATTGAGAAGGTGAACTTACGAAAAGGATTGGATCTACACCACCATATTCCGAGGAGTCCACAAGACGATCATCTCTGACCATATTGGCCGCCTTTTTGCGACTTTCAATGCTCAAGATATTCTTCTCTTGATCGACGACTTTTTTACCTGTAAAAGAGCATCATTTCGTATCAGTGGTGCAAAAATGTACCGCTTTCGGTTAATAAAGTAGTTGTGGGCTTTCATTCAATCAAGGAAGGCAGAACTCAACAATTACTGCACAAATGCAAAACCAGTTATGCCAAAATCGAATTTGAGAGAATTTCAAGTGAACATGGCAGAGAAACCGAAATAAACCTCACGTCTGCAGTTAGAATTAGAAATGTTTCACTAGCAGAAATGTTAAGAGAAGGACACGTACCTGTAGTGGGATTATAGGGATCACCAAGAAGCGAGACCTGCTTAACACCAAGTTTAGTTAACTCAATAAGACGATGATAGATGAGAGCTAATTCGCTGGCTTCACCCCATGCCAATTTGCGCGCATTAAGCGGTCGCTGGTGGTTCAAAATGTCGAGATTCGCAAGCACAGTCGTGGTTAGGATTCCACCCGCGAAGGGAGAGGGAAAACTGCGGACAATGAACCCCGCCAAACTGAGCTACGATGAATAAGAAAAACAAGTGGTAAGAGATGATACAGCAATGTGAATTTGCACGTACTGTTTCGATACGTGGGGCATATCGGAGTTTAGTGATCGACCTTAGAATCACAAAGTGCAGAACGGAAAACCTGCCCTGGTGTCAGTAATTCAGTAACAAGCATAGATGTCCTAGTATGTAAGATGAGCTGGACACAGGTTAACTTATTTTTGACTAAAATTTGAAATATGCCTAATATAGGAAGAGCTGAAAGTGTTACAGTGACAGATAAATAGCAGTACAGAAGTGAATGGCAATCTCTGACGCTATCAAAAGGGACTTTAGCCAAAAAGACCCGCAAAGTTTTCCAGAAAGCATTCTAAAAACAACACGCTTACCGCCTAATTCTATTTATTCCGAAATCCTGGCATACAGCAACCTGAATGAGTCAATTTCCTGATAAAAAATATATTTAGTGGCTGACAAGTGGAAAAGGAGGACAAGCAGCACATGCAAATCTGTCATGACATTTAGTAATGATTATATACAAAGGGAAGAGGGATTAACAAGGTGCAATTTATCACTCTTTTTGATAAAGTAAATGGGTTTTGAACATAATGAGAACAGTCCTTAACTGACTGACCGGGGAAAAGTGGACAAGCAAATAGTGCAAACACACCCAAAGCACAACCTAATAATGTAAAAATGCCCATAAATTGAAAATGGAAAGATAAAAGCCACTCACCTCAATATAATTAGGCCTCTGCACTTGGTAGGCTCCTAGATTACTTTCCATCTGCCAGGAGACGTTGTGCTTCTGCAATTCAGCCACGATACTCTGTCCAATCGAGCCATTATAAAAGACCAGCGTTCCTTTAGTCGCCAGTTGACGCAAAGTGGCCTCCAGGACTGGTTGAGGGCCATAGCTGCCATTCTGCACGGACTTTAAGAAATGTTGAGCAAACGGAGCTAAGGAAGCGTCGGAAGCAACTTTCACCAAGTTTTTGAGCAAATCCGGATGTACCTGAAGTAAATGTAAGATCTTATTCCGTTTCAAAAAAGAGCTTGGCAATCGTTTTTCCTATGATATGAGGAGTAAAATACCCCTTCAGAAAGCAGAGATTAGTAAGAATGGACTTTATACTGCGAAGTTATGTCTGGTGACATCAAGAACCCTGTTGTCTCCGATATAAGACATGAGCAACCAAGAGCACACGTGGCAAAAAAAAAGAAACTTACGGGAAAACCATTATGTGCTACTTCGATCGCAGGATGGAAAAGCTCAGCCCAATACAGATACCCATGGGCATTGTGGAGAGCTTTGAGACCGGCAATGAGACCAGGAATGCTAACATCGTGTGCGACGTTCGAGTTGGCTTGATCTGTGGTGTTGGGAGAGGTGCACATAGCATCGAAAAGGTCATTACTGTCGGTGTCCCGTTTGTGCACCCAAAACGCACCACATCCCCCCAGACCTAAAGCAGTGTAAGCCAATTATAAATGGTAAGACTATTCGAGTTGACTCTTTTTAGATAGAATTTAAAGAGCATAATTGTTCGAAATATGATTGAAAATTATGGTATGAAGATAGCGCATAAGCATTAACATACGTATATGCAGGTACTGTCAAATAACAACTGCTTCGAAATCAAGACCCATAAACGGTTGCACTACAGCTCTCTGCGTTAGATCAAACTAAATATCAGGTGTTATAAGCAGAAGCAATCAACGAAGCCAACCAGTGTGAAATGTTAGATAAGGGCTACGTTTGTGGACTAATGGAGAATGGGCAGTAAAACCCGACTCACTGATGATATCGGGTCTGGTAACAGTGAGGCAAAGAACTATTGACACGAGCGCATCAACCGCATTCCCGCCACGACGCATCATTATTTGCTTTCCAGCTTTAGAACAAGGACCGAATTCGGACATGAGGAAGCCATGAGGAGTAACCTTTATGTAAATTCATTCGAAGCCCACTTACTTGTGGACGTCCAAAGAAAATTGTTATCAGTAGTGCAACAGATATTGCTGCTAGGCAAGCAGCTATACTGACATAAATGAGGCTCAACTGCTTTGACGTTGATGAGGGACCTCTACAAAACCACTTTTTGGTAGTGTCATTTGGCACATGATTGTGTGATTTATGAGTCCCAGAATGGGAAGGGGAATTACGGAGGTCACGAAGATTAGGAGGTGGAGGAGGAGAATCGACAAGAAACTTGCGATCACCTCTGTGTGCCATTAAAACGGCTGAAATTGTGCCCCGTTCGGCGACTTTGCAGTTGACGGAGCCAATCACATAATCGGCACAAACCTAGACATCAGACTTGACTGCTATACAATATTTTTGAGATAGCGAAGTAAAAATGGACAAATGATATGAAGTTATGGCTTCAGTTCAGTTTTGGTATCCTTGTGCAGCCAGTCATGACTAACTCCAGGTTGGGTCTATGTAAAGCAATAATGAAAGTATGAATCTCCTCACCAATCTTTCCCTCATTTTGGATAATACAATAATCTGATGACTCAGATTGCATGATTTTCACAGTTTCAGATTAGAATTTTAGACTAGAGCTGTGATGGCAATGCATTACCAACTACGTTAACGACATCTGGCAATCCGACCGATTGAATGTGAAATGAAGCAGCAATGTAGGACGTGGCTTGCAGATCTCCTCTTCCCTGGTCCTCATGCGCTTAGAACAGCCAGACTGATTCAATTTTATCATGTTTATTGGGATAAGTAAATGGGAAAAGCAAGTACAAGTTCAGGGGTTGTGAATACGGGTTGCAGAACGTTGACTCCTCAGTCACGAGGTTCAAATGTTATCCTCGCCTCCTCTCCGAGAGGAACATTAAAACAACATAAGTATTGCATAGTACCCTCGTCTTTTCATCACCGTCCCCGGTGCTATCACTTATGAACCTCTTCCAAAGCTGCCATCCGGTGGTTTCTTGTACTCTGTAAGGGCGTAAACCCCTTCTTCATGTCCAACCGGTGGTGCCCCTTTGTAGGGTCGCATCTTGTTGTAAGGAACAGTTACCGACTGAGTACGTAGTCGTGCGTCGCGCACGAGGTAGTTTGTAGGTGAGAGCTCTTTCGCCTCTCGAAGTGGGTCCTTCTTCCATAGGTGATGGAGCTTGCAGTGTATTCCAGGTGGGGTAACCGGCATGTAAATTTGCACTAGGTCTCCTTCTCAGTAGACGTTCGCTCGGCTGTGTCGATCATAGTATTTCTTCTACCTGATATAAGGTAGTCATATATGTTTGCGTGCGATGTTAAAAGTTTCTCTTATGGCTTCTTCTAGACGCAATATGTACTCTAGACCATTGTTGGCTGCTTCGTCGGTGTTTGTCAGGAAGATGTCGGAAGGCACTTTCATTTCAGCACCTGTGAGCATCTTGAATGGGGAAACGCCCGTTGACTTATAGACCGTAGCCCTGTACGCGAAAGAACACGTCCTAGGCTTAAGTCCCAGTCATCTAGTTGTGCGTCTTTAGTGAAGCCCTTTAGTAGTCCGATTAGAGTGCGATTCGTTCTTTCCACCTGCCCGTTGCCTTGTGGATGTTGTCTTTGAGACCTGGCAAGTCTTACATGGTTGAGTGAAGAGTCGGCTCTCAAAGTTAGGGCCCTGATCGCCATAAACGGATTCAGGCACTCCATGCTGGCAAATCCGTCGATTAAAGAAAACCGAAGCAACCGTTTCAGCGTCTTGTGACTTTATGGGTTCTGCTTCGGCCCCTTTTGTGAAGCAGTCTACAAAAACCAAAATATATTGGTTTCCTCCCTTGGTGAGCGGTAGAGGACTCATAATATCTATACCTACCCTTTCCTCTGGGAAACCGGTGGGCATGGGTTGCAAAGGAGCGACGGATGTGGGGTAAGGCCTTTTGAAGTTGCTGCAAGTGGTAAAGGTTCGGCAGAAGTCTAGTACGTCTGGAGTGAGCGAAGGAAACCCGCATCTTTGCTCGAGGCACCTAGCATATTTTTTTCACACACGTGACCGAGTTGCTCGTATAACTGAAGAACTGCTTGCACTAATGAGCCAGAAATTACGAGATGCTTAGGAGATTCGATGTCTTCTTGGTGCCACGAAACCTCATCCTCTCGAGAGAGTTTTAACCATTCTTGCCAGATCCGTCTGGTCGCCTTAATGGGCAACGTCACCCCTTCCACTGTCGGCTTATACAAGGATGCCAGGAACTTCTCGTATATCAGAGCCGTGTCAGGATCAGTACTCTACATATTTCTCCATTGCTGTCTGGTAGGGCCGCCCAAAAATGTGCTACGCACCGCATCGTCACCTGTTTCCGCTGCAGTCGGTCTGCGGGGCAGTGCGTTCACATTACCAAGCCCCTTTCCTTTTCTATACTGACCTGTAAAATCATATTGTTGCAGTTCTTCCTACCAGAGTGCAACTGAACGGTCGATCTCCTCCATTGTTTTTAACCGGGTGAGTGCCTGATGGTTAGTTCTAACAATGGACTTCCTCGATATCGGGCAATGTCTGAAGTGTCTAACCATTGAGTAGGCAACGCACAGCTTATGTTGAGTCTGGTACTTGCGTAGGCGACTACGTGTTCGCTTTCTTCCTTCCTTGTCCCTTAGTGAGAATACACCGCCCACGCCGCGTCGCTCGCATCTGTATCCAGTACGAACAGTGGAGTGCTCGATGCTCAAATCGGTGCGGAGCAAAGCATTTGTTTCAGTCCTTTAGATGCCTCATCATGCTCTTTCTCCTACTTGAAATACTTCGCCTGCTTTTCGGCCAAATAATGTAGCGGGGTGATCTTAGTAAAACCTTTAACGAAACGATGGTAGTAATTTGCCGAACCTAGGAAACTGTGGAGCTCTGTCTGGTTGGTTGGTGCAGGCCATGGCCTCACTTATTGTGCACGGTCTTTGGTAACTGCTAGCCTTTCCGACAAGACTGTATATCCCAGGAAGATGACCGAGAGTTGCAGGAAACGGCACTTCTTCAGGTTCAAGGTTAACTCTGCGTCTCATAGAGGATCCAGCACTAGTTTAAGGTTGGAGTTGTGCTCTCAAATATCTCTACCAAAAATGAGAATGTCATCGAGGCAAATTACGCAACGCTTTAAGAATAGGCCGATCAGAGCTGTTTGCATCAGGCGTTGGAAGGTGGCTGCTGCGTTACAGAGTCCAAAGGGTATCGTTTGGAATTCCCAAAGCCCGTTTGGCAATATAAAAGCTATCTTTTCTCGGTCTGCTTCTGCCACTTCCACTTGCTAATATCCCGTCTTCAAGTCTAGGATGGAGTCGTTAATGTGAGGTAAGGGAAAGGCATCCTTCAACTCCCTATAGTCAATGCATAACCGTAGACTACCATCATTCTTCTTTACTAGCGCGATTGGAGAGGCTCATGGCTACTTAGACGGCTTTATAACCTCGTCTCGAATCATCTCTTTAACCGGACGGTTTACTTCTTCTAACAGAGGTGGTGGAATACGTCTAGGTGGTTGCCAGATGGATCTAGCTTCGCCGGTAGCAATCGTATGCTCGACGATATATGTTCGTCCCAGTTTTGCACCTTGCCATGAGAAGATATTCGCACACTTAAGTAGGAGCTCACGGAGCTCTTTTCTCCCGTCATCAGAAATGTGGATCATTTGAGCACAAAGGTCATCTGGACTGTTCATGGGAATGGCTGCAGCTTCAAAAAGGGCGTTGCAAATGTCATCCGTCGATAGCCAAATCTCTGCGTTGGCCTTATTGGCACAGTGAGTGGAAAAGTTTCCTTCTGCAAAATTTAGGACGTCTTTGGTGTGGTGTAGGAAATTAGCACAAAGTATCACGTCCCAAGCAGGTTCTAGACATGTAGTGAATTTCACTGTCCAAGTTCCCTTCCATATGCAGACTTTTAATGACATCTCTCCATTAAGTAGCACCTCCCTTCCTTCTGCTGAACGCACTTTTGTAGAAGGGGAGAGGATCTTAACCCTGTTACAGAAGATAGGGAAGGCGTGGAGATTTACTACTGATCTAGCTGCGACAGAGCTGGGAAAACTGTAGGGACGTGCTCCAAGTTTATCAGGAATCCGCATATAAGAATGGGAGCCATTTGGAAGCAGGGGGAGGTACGATGCGAGGGTGTTGACTTTGACCAGTTTTAGAGCTTCTGTTAGGTCGTCACTCGAAGTTCCTTCGGCTTCTTGGTTGCGAGCTTTACCAGATGACTGAACGAGTTGGTCTTTAGGTCGCGGAGCTCCTCAACCATAGCGGGAGGTCAGGCTCTGTGTCTGAACTGAACCGTTATTTAGTTGGCGACCTTGCTTGGAGGACAGCCACTGAAAGCACGTTGCACCAGAAGTCGAAGTTTCTTAGCCTACTCTTCGTCATCCTTGTCAGCTTTTTGGAAACAGAGGAAGTAGTCTCTGGTGAGGGTTTGTTCTTCCCGATCAATGACGAGTTGAGCCAACGTATCGCAGCATTGATCAATGTCGGTATCGTGGGTGATGGCAGCATCGACTGCGGCCAAAAATAAATCGTGGGGGAGGGCGCAGAGGATTAAGGGTATTCTTTGGCACTAAGGATAGAGATGCAGGTTGAATCTAGCAGTTTTCATCCAGTTTTTGAAGTTCATGTTATCTCTGAAAGGGGTAAGGTTCGCTGGCACTGCCATCAGTGTAGGACGTGTCTCGCAGATCTCCTCTTCCCTGGCCCTTGTACTCTTAGAATAGCCGAGTTGATTCGGTTTCGCCATGTTTATTGGGAGAAGTGAATGAGGAGAGCAAGTATAAGTTCAGGAGGGTGTGGACACGGGACCTTTCTGCCGGTTGCAGTGCGTTGACTTCTCAGTCACGAGGTTGGAATCGTATGCCCGCCTCCTCCCCGAGGGGAAAACTAAATCAGCATAAGTATTACAGCTACAAGTGGGTACAGTTACCGATCCGCTCAGAGGCCACCTCTAGGAGAGTCATCCGTAGTTGGCCCTGAACATACACCCCCATCACGGAACTTACCGACGCGCAAGGTAACTGCACACCTCCACGTAGATGGGGAAAGCCAGATACCAACTCCTCGGCATCGACAAAAACCGAACCCCATGGATCACCTTACTCGTGACATCCACACAACCCCCATCCCAATCACTTTAGAGGAATCCCCCACTTCCTCTGGTGAGAACAGACCACAGCTGAACGGCCAAGCCTGGAGGGATACCAGTGCTGCGCATCTTCACACCCGCCCATCCACAAACAACTCAACTAGACTCAGTCGCATAGCTTCAATCCATTGAAGTACTTGCTCTGTAACATTTTTACGCACGAAGCACCGGAATCACCCTCGATTCGCGTCGTCAACATTCCCCTCATCGAGACATCGTTTGACAGAAGAAGGAAGATCCTCAAACCTAAAACCCTTCGGTAATTTCGAAGCCCTCAAACTGTTTCTCCTCCTTCGCACCATCTCCTCAAGTTCCCAAACTGCTTGCATTGGATCCTGCACCGGTTCTAAATGAAACATTCCCGATAAATAAGTTCACACATTTTAAATTTACCCGCTGCTGCCTGAAGACGTGCCTCCTCCTCCCTCGTCAAATGAGAGTACCGACAAGTCACTCCATACTGGCACGCGCCAGTTCGCTGAAACGTCGTGCAGAGTCGCTTGCATCGCTCCGCAGCTAGTACTTCTGTGGGATCTACAGGCCTCGATCAAGCCATCTTAGTACTACTGTGCAAACCTCTGTATGGATGCATATACTCCAGTCTCAATTGGACGTGGCGCGCCCCATTCAAGTGGTTCCGCCTGTTGACCAGGCTATCCGGAAAGCTCGTATCACAGTAGTCGCAGTAGTAACGCCGCCCCTAAAAACAGGACAACTAAGAACAAAAGCCGAAAGAGCAGCGACGACGGTAACAAAATTGGCGTCGACCTCATGCTCTGCTATATTTAACGCAAACCATATAGCGTAGGAGAAAGTAAGCGCAAGTCTTTTTGCTTGTGCATTCATGAAATAAACATTTACATAGAGACTAGGGGGACAGATTAGAAGAGGGGATGACAGCCTGTTCCGATGTCCAGCGATGGCAAAGAGTGGATTTTGACACCGTCTATGAGGTATCGCCGTTCCAGTGAGTTACGCATAAATGTGCTATTGGGAAGACAGGGTGGGGCAGCTCGTGTATGAATGTGTACATAGGTAGGAAGGGACACAAAACTTGTACATTGGGAAAACCAGACGATGCTGATGTTCGCACACCTGGTGATCACTCATTAGTTTCCCTGAAAATAGAGTAAAAGTGATTAGTATGCTAGCCAATCGATGAGACGCATCCAGCTGAACTAACTCACCAGGTTGATCAATTGCACGCGGTGGTAATGGGTGTATACTACAGTGTGCATAAATACATGCATATGTGAGCTCCAAGTCCTACACTTCCACTTTAGCAGTTTCACACGACGGGCGAGTGGTGCGCACATTGGAACGAATTGTTGACAGCGAACCAACAGTGCAAAGTTGTGAAACAAAACCACGAGCTAGTAACGAAGCTCCACTAGCTTATTTACTACCTTCACGACTTGGAGCTGACTACAAAATTAGCACATCTGATAATGATAGTGGATTACTTATAGAGATATGAGACCGCGTATCATATGTACGTCTCACATCTAAAAAATGTTAACATACTAGGTAATCACGAAACTGAAGCCGCTCGTGAGGTATGAAATGTCTAGAGCAAACCAAGCAGACCTAACCTAGTAGCTACCGAAAAACGAATAGTTCTAACGTGACTGGTATGTTAAATCACATGGCCTCAAATAAGTCGTGTAAAGGGGGGAATCTCTACCCTACAGGTGAGTCAATGACATTGGGGTCCGGTAGAAAACATGACTGAAGGCGACAATTTAGATAACAAGATAAAAATGAGCGCTTTATTACAAGTTCCGACAATATATCGACCAGTGGAAACGATTCTTCACATCGGAACCACGGAGATAGCCATGGCACTTTTTCTTCAGTAAGCAATCTACAATAAACTCACCTAGAAGGACTGGGGTCACGCGGTTTACCAACCCCGAAAATAGCTTTTGATCGTTCAGAAAGCTCACGTTCCTGGCTAAGTGCATTAACGGGAGTGGACCGCGGTTTAAGGGAAAGACGTGGACGATCGGCGGCATCGAAATTTGGGGGAGGTATATATCCGCCACCCGAACGGTTACTGAGTGGAGGTGTAGGATAGTCATCATGAAAACCAGCAACACCAGGCTGGACACGCGGGCGATAAGCTCCTGGACGTGGACGATTGCCAAATCCGTTACCGCCCACCCCACCCTGTCGACCACCGCCACGCACATTGCCTATTAGGAAACAAACAGATACGACATTCATAGAGCTAACATAGTGGAACATTAAGTGAACCAAAGAACAACCAGCTCTTCCGTTGAAATCACCACGACCGCGAGCACCACGGTTGCCTGTAAAATAGAAGCAATAAGTGTATTTTGAACACCAAAGAGAAAGTGCAGATGGAACTTACCGCCTCTTTCTGCATCATTTACGCGTATTTCTTGGCCGTTGACAATCTAGGTGGAGCAACTATTACAGCCAATATGTACAGACGTACTGTTTTGTCATATGACCGGGCTTTGTTGTAGGAGTCCTCGTCTCTAAGTTCCACATAGGCATAGCCTTTAAATTTATCTGTGTTGCTATCGTGTACCATAGTAATGCTTGCAATCTACGCGAGGGATTAAAGATAAAAGCAAGTGATAACGTGTACCTTGCATCCATCGAATATTTCCTCCAGGTGAGACTGCAGACAATTCTTGGGCAAATTGCCAACGTAGACGCGATATCTGGGTGTTTCATTAAGATTAAAGTTCCTAAAAAGCATAACCGACTGATAATGCTGAAGGACCCCATGAATTGACCAGCACACCCCAAAACACGCCTACCTGGCGGACATTGTTGTCTTAATAAACAGGCGCTCTTCAATCAGCTTATTAAAACATTCATGTGAACCACGATATATAAACAATGTTAAATGTTCCATACTATCTTCACTTGCTTAATTTGCTTTATTCTTATTTTTGCAAGATACTTTGCACTAATTTTTGAGCACTTTGCAAGTTTTTTTGTACAAATAGGCGGTTCAGATACTTAAGTTGGTTGCCTTGATAACTGTCAGCTTTCTTAAAAATTTCTTTACCGCAGATCTCACACCTAAGATTTCTAGCGACTTATGGCAGATGTACATTTCCTGATTTCTCGAATAACTGTTCGGGCCAGCTAATTGCGATAGTTTATTACTGCCAACACTTTTATGCTTTTGCGGTAGGTTATCTTCCTGGTGGTGTAAAGCCTTGTGTTAAAATCCCACCTATTCATTTTGATCACGTATTTTTTCCGCGACCCATTAAATTGATTCGATACGGTATTCAAAGGGGAATCACGGGCGTCACCTGCTTTAAGTTAGATAGACTTAAAGCTAGATAGATTCAAGGCGTGCCCTTATTTTGAGATCAACTAAAAAATGTTTAACTCATCAATTAATCACTGGGCGAAAAGCGTACGGAATAGAGCAACGTGAAGTAGGGAAATCATGGCATATTTTGCGCATATCGATAATTATAATAAATGGGTGAATCATATCCATGATATTAGACTTTCATTATGTTGGGTTAGAAGCCTCGTATGCCAATGCAGCGGCGGTGGAGCAGTAAGGAGGGGTGGGTTAGTTAAGTTGAGCGGCAAAGAGCAATTCAGACAACACCAATAGCAAGAAGAAACAAAGAGCAGATAAGCAAATGCCAATTGCTCTCATCTATTTAAGGGCTAATTAGTTCAACCATTTTACTAATAATGCTTTTGGATTTTACTATATTGGCATTTCGCGAAGGTTGTATCAGAAATATGCCGATTCCTCTTAATCATCCACCAGCACGTTATTGATCCAAGTCCCCCAAAAAATTCATATTTGAAATAAGGATTCACCAGGACTTGAAGCTATTGTTCATCCCTGATATCAGAAAATGAATGAATAAGTGAATACAACTATTCACGATGGTCAAAGATCAAATATACATGCAGTAAAGGGCATTAGCGGGGTGTGTCCGCAGCAGAGGGATTGGAGCTTCACAACGAAAGACCAGAGTTTAAAATCGACTGAATGCCAACTTCGGTTCCTGGCGAAGGTACCGAGGAGTGCATTCCAGCTTAATACACAGCAGGCCTGTCACCAGCACGATAGACTGCTGTCCTCTTCGCAGTCACGTAGTTTCTCGTCCTCGTGTGCTCCCCCTCATGCTCCGGATACGCCGATCTCTGAAGCAGAAATGCACTTTAATTCTACTAGCTTTAATACTTTATTACTTATTGTTAATAAGTCAAAATATTATGTTTTGATTTGCAGTAAGGATGCTTTCTGTCCCGTCTTCAATCATGATCGAAAATCTAAAGTACGGCTTATCAGCAGATGCGTTTCACTACACTAAAACTGTCGTTTAGAAATATTAACCATTTTACCACAAGCTATTTACCAGTGGACTGGTATTGTGTTGAAAGTTTCAGCCTTGGCCACAAGTAACATCAGAATTGGTAAGTAACAGAGGACTGATCAACAGTTGTCTTAGAATGTTTAAATTGGACACGGAGTGATTACATACCAGTTGGGGTGAAAGACAATCATCCGGAAAAAAAACATTGCTACTACACTGCCTCTTCCACTGCCATAATGGAGCCGTGGCCTCTTGGTTACGCCAACAGCGTTCCTACCCTTCCATAACCCAACAATAAACCTTCTGTCATGCTAGTGTGCCTTGTTTCGGCTTCCAGGGTGGCTAAAAACGCTGCAACGCACAGAGTGAGTGCAGAGCGGACAGCTTTGCCTGGCTCCAAGGCTGTAGTCGGGAGGATTACGCGGACTGATGTAGAAGGCAGCTTGAGGCGGTCCGGGTGTCTTTTCGCGCCGCGACACCGACTGCGGCGACACCGATACGCTCCACTGTGGTGCGTGCCCCGCCCTCAATTCGACCTGCATTCGCTCCACTGCCTCGTCTCCCGTCTCGTAGGCAGGAAAACGTTGTCTTAGTCTCTGATGCTTCTGCTGCTCCTCCTGCGGATGATAATGGTGATAATGCTGCCGCTGCTGCTGTTGGTAATAACGATAATTATGTTGGCGCTGGTGGGGGCTGTAGAAGACCTCTCTGGAGTAGTCAGCCATCGCATCAGGAGCGTGTCCTTGAGCCATCTAGTGAAACAAAACAGGGGTATAAAAAATAGCCCAACGTTATTTCGATCCCTTTAAAAAGGAGCCAGAGCGGCTGATTTTGCCTGGGCATCCAATTTCCTTGTGACAGGATTAATAGTGCCAAAATAGCAACAACTCAGTTGATAGGAGCGCCAGTTAACCAAAAGATTTATTACGTAACTTGTCCCACTAAAGTAGTCCAGAAACTAATGGACAAACAAAAGGGTCTTTTCAGATGAATAACCAATATCAAAGTGGTATATGAAGAAGAAAATAGATAGAGACGGTAGTTGGAACTAAAATCTTGATGAGGTTTCCAATTTTACCTAAGAATTTGCGCCATTGTAATACAACGTTCTAGCAGAATATCGCGTTCACGTTTTGATGTACCTACCATAGGCAGGTTAATGCTCGCCAGCTGTCAAAGATAATTGTGTAAAAGTCCAAGTTTTCTGTTAACAAGTATGAAAAACACTTCGTTGCTATAACAGCAATTTCGCGCAATTTTGGCCGATTGCAACTACGAGAAAGCTTTCAATAACGACTCGACAGTCAAAGAAGTAGTAGGAGAGGGAATATTTAGTGCTTTAGTACAAAATGTCATGCAAACTTTTCGTATAAAAAAGCACCAGAGGCAAGAACTCCTGTCACCTCTCCTATTGCGGATCAAAATATCGCCTTTTTTAATTTAAAAAGCTAACAAAGCTCACTGCATAGACTTATTTTAAAAAGTGTCAAGTGGGCTGCTGCATATGAGGAAGCTACTAATTTGGCAGTAAATGTGTTGCAAATGCCGCAGCAGGAGGACCGTTGCATTTTGACGCCATGTACCCAGTGCCAATTATGCGTATACGCATTCAAAATGGCTCATTTGACAGTCACGCTAGCGTCGAATAGCCCTATTTCGCGTGGGACAGAGGGTACGATTCAAATCAAGGTTCATCTCAAGGTCACAGAGTTGAAGGCAGCACAATTCTATAATTATTCAGTTAACTCTTGGTTTTGGTTTCACGGACACTTAAGGCTTCGCCACTGAGCTTCCACTAGGCCCTTCTGTCCGCCGTCACTGCACATTCTGTCCTAGCATTATGCCTTCATTCGACCTCAGAGAAGACTCGGGGCTCTACTGCAGTTTTAAAATTCTGTCTGTGCTTAATTCAAGCTTGAGAGAAATGAGATGGATGGTATACATCTTATTACAAAATCCATTTAAAATAAGCACTATTTTAGATGTCAAGAAATTCTAAGCCTTTTAAGGACCTCGTGCGGTCCAAATATTTCCTCCAGATGTCAACTACAACATTTACTTCGATCAGCTCCGTACGCAAACAAAAATATCAATCTTCGACAACAAATCACCGAAAGTGACAATAAAAAATTATCACTTTATACATCATAAGACTCTTCTGCCACATAACACGGTATAAAAGGCGGCTAGAATGCAGCAGAAGCTTGAAAAACGACTGACTGCACAGTCACTCGACAACAAGAAGGGAACCGAACTGAATGGAATCACGCCTGCAGCGAGGTTAGTCAGCCCCTTGTGCACCAAAAGATTGGTAATGACAAAATCTGATTTTCCCTTGGGCACCATCGTGGCCCAATTTTCTGTGGGATTTATTGCTGGCGCTTTTATCCCCTCCGCCCTTCGCTTACTTGGCAAAAGAGAGTAACTACCAACTGAAAAGAATGTAGTTTAAAGCTAGACTTAAAAGAGCTGGTAAAAAAGATGCACCAGGATGAAAATCTCACGCTATTGGTGGTCAAAGAGGACGAGGTTCCAATAAAAGTGGATGTCACAATGTCAGCAGGAAGAGGGGTGAAGGAGAGTGTTAAAATCTATTTTAGCACTACACACAATTGTTTACCGACAAACGCGCAGTTGAATTCCTTAAGAGAGTGGGCAGAATTACCAAGACATAGCAGCAAAATACATGATAGTGGTTAATTATTCATTCTCTAGCAAACTTAACGTTGACTGTAGTGGTTGAATCGTCAAAAGTGGAACTGAAACACATACGGTCGACTGATGACTCCGAAGTTCTGAATACCTCCACTCGGGAATAGTTATTTTCATGACAGCAAAAGCACAGTAAAGCCTACTCTTGCATCACAGCCAATATTTAGTACTTTCCACTTTCTGATTGAAATTGTTAGAGGTGAAAAGAAAACCAACAACCAAAATTTGGGTGTTCCACTGTTCTGATGTGAGACCAATTTTCACTATTAATCACTTCAACTACGACCCGAAGACTGAAAAGTGCAGTTATCCGCACATTAGGATCACCACACATCTGCGTTTCGGAGTTCCAACCCCAACCACGATTTAGTGCGACTGGGTGTGATGAAGTGATCAAGGACGCAAGTTCTAAGGGCGTGATTTCGAACTCGGATTTGAAAATCTGGGTATTACCTATGTGTAATGCTGGTAAAGAATGTTAACGGAGCAAAAGTGAAGAGAAGAAATATGGAGGGAGAATCAAAGCGCCTAAGACAGAGGTACTGCGTAGATTGATGCATAACGTCAAGGCAGTGAGTCACCCACCAGAGTGGCTCCACAGAAAAATTTACAGTAAAAACAACATTTGATAAGGCAGTTTGACACTTTTTTCAGCCAATGCTTTTTCATCATCAAATATAGCAGCTGTAGGTGTAAAAATAAACGCCTTAGGCGAGGTTTATGTGGATAGTAGGGGTCCTTCAAATCCTACTTTATTTATTCTGCGTTTGGTAGGACTTACGCCCTCAGTCTTGTGCAATTACAATGGGAACTAAACACCAAACTGGCAGAATCCCACGACAAATAATAGTTCCTACGCAAAGACAAAGTGTATTGTTGCAATTTATGATGGAGGTGGAGGAAATTGTGCTTTGTTTTATGGATGGATTACTAGTTGCACCAGGCAAATGCCTAAAATATTCTACGAAGTAGGGCTGAAATGGAGACAAAACATGCTAATTCCACACACAAAGAAACACTCCTTTCCTCGACCAAAGGGGGACAGTATTAATCATAAATAAGCTGATAAAATGCAACATCTTTATTAAACATTAGACAACTGTAATCCATACTTATTTCGATTCCTATCGTAATTTACATCGCTTTTCATTAGGTATTTAACCGCTCTGGAAGCTGTAGTCAATATAGTGCTTTCATAACTTGTTTATTTCTTTGTTTGGGTTTAGAGAGCACTTAAGGCTCCGCCTCTGTACTTCCACTGGGCTGCATGGCATTCGAACCATGTCAATAGCTCCCCAGCCCTTCTGTAGTTCGACAATACATATTCTGTCCTAAGATTATACCTTCTTTCGTCTTCGGGAAAGGGTCAGAACAGGAATGGAACTCGATCTCAAAGGAGAGCTATCTTGATCTCAATTCCTGAATGCAAAATCTGTGAGGACCCCTTACAGAAGGACTAAAATGACGTCTATCTTCGGCAACTGCCCCAGTCCGGTGATCTACAGGAATGCTACTGACACCTAAAGCGCCAATAGCCGTGAACTATTTGGAAAAATTCGTTATGGAAGTGTCTACCGTACCTGTATGAAAATGTCAACGAAGTAAACGCGCGATGCCTCCTCTACTACCTGGCTAGAATCCAGGTAGATAGGTGTGACTGGACAGCATTAAAGTGAGAACATGATGGCAAGAGAAATCTCATCTTAACAAAACTATTCTTAACCCCATCCTTTATTAAATGACGGTTAAGGCCAGGGTTCTTGCAACTAGTGATGGACATTCGTGACGGCCAGCACATTCTCATTTCCCTAATGCAATTTTCAAACAGGACGCGACTCCAGATGCAATGGAATTGGTGTGAGGAAGCAGTGACATCGCACTTAGATATCTTCTCATTTTCATGCAAATTCGGTGATTGGTGGGGTTAGTTCGTGGGTATTTTCCTACGATAGAATGGCCGGCGCGAGAGGTTGACAGAGGGAGGGTCGGAGACAACACTCAAAAGTAGAGGAGGTTATGCAATACTTTGATTATTTGTTTAACTCTTCACTTTGGCTACACGGGCATTTAAGGCTCTGTCTTTGTGTTTCCACTGAGCGGCATGCCCTCTGAACCATGCCGGTAGACCCACAATCCTTCTGTACGCCGGTAATGCATGTCATGCCTTCGTATTACGGCTTTTTTCCCCCATTAGAAAAGTCTCGGGGTGCTACAGCCGCAGTGTTTCGTCACGGCATCAAATCAATTAAAGGAAATTTTTAGCTATTTGGTAAACGGAAACTTTCATGCGATAGCTATTCAAAGGTGGAAATAACAAAGGCTCTAGTCAGTTAACAAATTACTGACATCCTATGGTTCAGAGGAACGGTGTTGGCAATTGAATACATCCATGTGGAAATTTCCACCAGACGACATATTTGTGCACGGGTGATGGAAGCGTTTGAAAGACTGTGTGTTGAAGAGGTAAAGGACGATAATTAAAGGATCATGGAATGCCAAGGGTGATGTTTGTTTCAAAGAAATTGCGATAGTCTAAGTTGAGTCACTCAATCTACCTGGATCAAGGCAATAATGAACAATGGAAACAACTAACTTGAAAAATCCTTTACTTGAAATCAAATAATATAAAGTGCGAAATGGAAAATGCATCTCGTACTGCCGATATCTATTGGAAAGGAAATTTGACATGCTTTGTGTTGGAACTTTTTCTGAAGTTTATGATGCTGGTAGTCAACTAGGTGCACATATTTTGCGTCTGCTTTCTCTTTTCCGTTCCAAAGGACTATGTTCTGTAAACAAAAGCGAAGTTCAGGTTCACAAAGCTTCGCAAGCAGAGGCATTAATTATCTTGGCGCAGTTATCGCAAAATCCCGTTTGAATTAGATTTTCCATTAAAAAGGAAAGAAAATGCATTGTTGGGAGGGCGCTCCACACGCAGGGCACATGGTTACCTAGTGAGCAGATGGCTAGAGCATTAACTAGAATTAGGAAGCCTGGGGGTTCCCTACTCACGTTCAAGTGCTACGAGTGCAGTAAAAATATCCCTGATCTCAGATTTATCCGCAAAGATGCTTTCAGAGAAAATCGGCTACCACGACAATGCCCAAACAACTTTGTTCTAATTTAACACCAATCACCACTAGATTTTAAAGATTACATCTGTAACATCCCAAAAAAACAAGGCTATAATTATTATCGGGAGAAGGAAAAATTTGACCAATCTTTTCGTGACAGAACGCAGATGGGTGCCACTCTTACTGAAAGTATTAACCTCAATACTAAGAAGGTGATTTTGTGTAAAAATATTTGTAACGAAGTAGCACTAACGTAAGCATACACATTTTTATTGGAGATGGTTACAGACTATCCTATCTTAGCCTGGCAAGTAGTCTGTAGAAGGGTCGCCAAAAGGTAAACCTGTTACAGATCTGTATTGCACTCAAGAAGTGCCGCATACATTCGAAATAACTAAGTAAATTTTGGGGGTATATATATAGCCAAATCATGTTTCGTCGTCATATGCTCAGCTTTGCAAACCTTTTCAGCCATCTGCTATTCGGGTCTCACGTTGGCGGAAAGGATCCCTGCTGATGTTATCGATGCTACTCTTGCCTCATAACTTCCACAGTGATGGCGCTAGCGCCACATTTCAATGGGTGAAGGAGTCTACGCCGCGCTGAGAATAGCATTTTCACTTTCGGGCATTTCTTTAAAATATTTTCGAAGTTTATCGAGAAATGATGAAGGAAACCACATTTATATGTCGCAAAAAATTCGGGGAAACCTTAACTTGTTGTTATTGGGCATAAAGATTTAAAATGACCGTTAAATTTTTGACTGAAGCAATTGAAATTTACATGGCAGCATTGAAGTGATCGGAAACAATACGTACACCAAAACCCAGGATTTGCTAAATGTTGCATCATTAAAGATGTTGAAATGAACCCTCAGTTGAGTATGAAGATGGAGAGTAGCATACTCCATTAGTTATATCTTCCTTAACGAAGAGGTTTCATACATTCCATTCGCTGTTAAATTTAACCAAGAAATTAGGTCCTGTTAACGATTCGTGGCATAAACAGCAGTTTCCGCTGAACATAAATGAGTGGAATGGCAAAATTCATGGACCATTAACAAAATGTGGTTTACGCAAGTACTAAAGGTAGAACGTTTCCACAGAACAGTTAAAATATAGAAAATTTGCACGCAAGCCACACCACTTTGAAGCTCTGGTAGGAGAAACTAACTTCCACATGCCTTGAACACTATCGGTGGTTCTGAACTTTGCCGACAGGCTTCAGAGAGGACAATCGTCCCTCGTCTAGACTGCACCTGCCGGTAGTTAGTCTGCGATTCGCTCAGCCAATTGCCCATCTCATAGACGCCCCGACTGGCCGACACCCTCAACGGCGGATGCACACGACTCACAACCTTCGACTTTTGGTCGATCAAATGGGAAGGTATCTGGCAATGTGGGCCACCATGCTGCTCCCGCTGCCTCGACGTGCTTGAAGTCGACAGGGTGGAGGAGATTGTGGTCCTCCCTGTTGAGTCGAAGCGCTCGATCGCTGTTGGCTGAAGGATTTACAAACACTCATTTATTGGCTTTTTGATTTTGTTTGCAGACTGTTTGGACTACAGACAGAGCAAAGCTTGTTTTGAAACCTTTCTGATGAAACAGACTAACGTGATATATCGGCACTAACAGCTGGAACAACTTAGGGATTTTGGCTATTCGGCTAATAATCCCTCGGTTGCAAATTCGTAGGAATAGAAATAAGGAGTTCAACATAATTTAAGCTGTATCTCAACAAAATATATTTGATGATGCCTGAAACAGTTTAGAATAATTGTAAAATTATCGTAAATTTTACTCATTTAAGTTGAATGACGTGAATTTCAGGAAGTCCTTACAAAACCGTTGCAGTATTCAAATGGATAAAAACAATTTGTCAACGTCGTAGACAGCAAAAAATCGTTGCTTCATCTAGATTTATAGTAAAAGAAAGAGGATAAGGGCGATCCGAAAAACTTATTCGCAAAATTTATTTGGAAAAAATGCAAAGTAATTTGGTCTTAAGGCCTTGAGATGGAAGAAGATGGCAGAGTTAATTATTCAATTGAGTGGAAATGTATATTAGGCAATTCCTTTATCTCCCGTACATTTACTGTTTTGTACTGAATCCCACTGACAGCGGAAGAGGCCAACGAAGTTATGATATTTTAGTTTATTGAAAGTTCTATCTACATCCAGGAATATCAACATATTACTAGTGTTACATCGCCCGAATCTTAGCGCCCGAAAAACTGTTCTTGATGAATGGGATGAATTCTAACCAGATTTGCGCAATGCTTTTGTTGCATGAAAGATGCTTTGATGCGGTTCTATCAGTGCAAGAGACCAAATTTTGATTCTCAAAAAAAGTGATGAAATAAAGGTAATGAACTAGAACGCGGGTTATTTCGGAAATCACGAATTGCAACTAGTACGTAGAAGTGACTTGTGTTTATTTTGCAATGATTCAGTCGTTTGAAAAGTGTTTTAAAGTTGTGATTTTACCGCAAATCAAGAGTCTACGCACAGTGGACAAAAAGACCTCAAGATGCAACTTCATTTTCGCTATCCCATTTAAAATAAAAAGTCGTCTTCTCACGAACCTTATTGCATTTGATGAGTCAAAGAGGAACCGTGGCAATCGTTACAGTTGGTGAGATCGAAATGGTACATGTCAAGGCAACAACGAATAACCTAATAAAGCACAGCCTTACCCGCTTGAGAGATGGAGTAAGGGCAAAAGGAATTACTAATGAGCCAAGTGGGATAAAATAGTTACTATTAAAGACTACCAAGAGCATTTGATGGAATGACTGAATACGCTACTGCTCTAAAAGAGGAGATCTTGCTTTTCAATCTTATACAATTGGGACAATCATACCAATGGCCCATATCAAGCTTAAACTGGCTTGGGCATTTCCTCGCATTTATGGAAATTTCCTCAGTAATTAAAGGAGAGCATTTGGAATATTGTCAATTGTAACGTCGGCTTTAGTGCTGTCAATACTGTTCGATAAGATGTTGATTCAAAACCACCAAGTTCCTAGGTATTCAGTGATAGTCCAAATTGGGTTCTTTTTCAGCCAATCAGAGATAAATAATGTAGTCTTTAATAAGAATGAAATTGAGAGTGTCGATAGCAAGGCGTATCCGTCGGTGTTGGAAACTACCGACGAATCAGGAACTACCAGACAAGAAAATAAGAAAGCAGCTTAGCAAAAGAATAATAAGAATGAGGATCTACCGGTAGCCGCTTAAGCGACCAGGACTCATTCATTGAAACCGTCGTGGCGGAGAATTCCCGTGGGACCGCCGTAGCAGAGACTGCCGATCGTGGAGTGATTGATGAATCAGTTGGAAAGCTGCCAGGACTATGACAGGTTATGGATCGGGTGATCACTGTCAACGGACCTGCTGAGTGACCTGCTTTGCACTCCGGAATGCACTCCACGGGCAGTCGACCGGTCAAACGCTGCAAACAAAATTAAAATTTGAGGAAAGTATTTTTGCATTGCCCCATTTTAGGACTAAATGCAATCCTCTTTGGGTTTTACGGGAAGTTCCACCTACCAAGAACATTGTATCCAAAAAGCATGGGTGGGCGTGATCCGTGGTATCCAGTTTTCACTTAGTAGCTACTTTTAAGTATGATGCAGAAAAAGCGACCATGCAATTTCGCCGCTGTAGTCTATCTCCAGAGCAAAAGCGACTACTGTAGACCAAATATTTTAATGTTCTAGGATGACACCAACACTTACACGAAATGCGACTCAAAAGCACAAAAATGGAAATACCCTCAGACCATGGATATAAAAATTGAACCATCCCATAGGTAATGGCGTTGGTAACGTAAAGGTTTAATCGTAAATCAGAATGCCTAATAAATAGGCGTCCTAAAGGGGGACTTGTCCCTTTTAGCAGTCGTTTAAAATCTACTTCGGTGGTTACACACAGGTCCTGGATTGAATAAGTCTGACTGCATTGCCGAAACACTTTATTTGCATCTGCATTCGGTTAACGAAGCTCCTCCCTTAAGTCTGACTCCGATGAGTATGTGTGAAGATCATTGGATAAAAGACTGTGAAGAGAAGAAAGGGCTTCTTGAAAGTGCTCTAGAGATTATAAGGACAGATTTAGTGCGGCATTCTAGCAAGGTCATGTAGTGCTGTAGGTTGGAAAAATCCTTTTTTTCTTCAACCGGTGTCTCACTTAATCTTGTCGATTAAGGCAGGTTAAATTCTGGTTTAATACCGTGGTAGTGGATACTAGCAGAAAGGTGGGAACCTTTCAAATGACCTCTTGGACTCAATTGGTTCTCAGTCGTATTGTCGCTTTCTATCTAGGGTATTAAACTACGAATGTGGCCTCATTAGACGATGAGTGCTGTCATACATGTTGCTAAGATTACTTTGACGGTTTGCGATCAAAGGACGCAGTTATTGCCTCACTAAATGGGAAATTTTGTTCCTTCGATACATATTTATTGTATTAAGTCCCACAAAGTGTAGAAAAATAATCCTCTGTGGAGGGTGCCTGCGGCCCTAGAAAAAGGTTTTCATTCAGATTTCTAGAAGTTTCTATGTTTTGGTTTTTCACGAACAACCTAAAGACCGTCTCTCGTTCACTCCCTCCTAATTGGCTAAGGCCAGGTTTAAGCACACTTTCAATGCGTTAACACTTACATCAAAATTAAGGTCAATCTATTGCTGTAAACAAACGCGACTGCTCCGGCCGAGCGATGCAGGGCCAGACTCATTCTCCAGTATTCCCCACTAACAAGACTCCAGCCTCGTACACGTAGGTCGTGCCTTTGTGCTTACACGTCCACGTCAGTCAGCAGAGGCGTCTGTCGTGACGTCTTATCTACTACTTTTTTCGATTGATGATCTCGATAAGATCTAGGCGACTCGCAAACAACGAAACATCTGGTTTTAGCATTTGGTAATTCAGTCTCAAACATCTACAAAGCTATTCTTGTTTGGAAATTCGTTTAACCTGAGTGGTTTACCCCATCGGCTAGCCAGCTGTCTTCCCTACCCAGAAGATTTCTGCAAAGTGATGTGATGTTGCTGGAATGTTTAAGGCTTGACATCGATTTATCCACGAATTGACGCTTATACGTCGGGCATTTAGACTCGTCTGTACTTCTGAATAGGTTTCTCGGTAAAAAACTATTTTCTGATGCCCACTTTTCACATAATATTTCCCTTAAAAGACCATGTTAAAGATTACTAGGAAAAAAGGCTATACTTTCCAGCTAAAGATAGTACACTTGCGGTTATAAAGCTGAAATTTCACTTCAGAGTCAACGCGATCCCATGACTACTAACAGGAAGTTTTGTATCCACCAGTAATGTTGCCGAAGGGACTTCATAAAATCGCACCATTTGCCAATGATCGAAAACATTCGGCACCTCCAAAAGGCGTCTCAAAAAACAATTTGGAAAGAATTCTTGGACAAAACAAGGGTTTGGGATAACAGCCATGTATATATTTGTCGGGATGGTCGACACTCAAAATTAACAGCTGGGAAGCTCGGTAGTTGCGATTAAAAAGCCTACTAATCATTTTGTTTTGTTCGCTAAAGCTTAAAACCACTCCTCGTAGTAAAAGTGCCAAATTCTGGATTTTAAACCAGAAATACCTTCTTTCATCGCAAAATATACCGTCTTCGTACTTTTCACATTAAAAAGTGTACATTGGACACAAATAAATCACTTTATGATATTTAGAACCAAAGAAAACGACCAAGTAATGTCAAAGACAGAACCAGAATTATAACTTGAGGAGACTGAAGAATTCCAGCTTGGAAAATGTATTATTAAAGAAATTAAATAATGCAGGAATTTAATGTAGGTGATAGTTTTTGTGTTCAATTACTACCTCAGCCTAATCCGCTTTACGTACCTCCTCCTCGCGGCAAAGATCCGTGAGTTGTCGACTACTCTCCAAGATGAGCCACTTTAATTCAGCGGCCACTTCAAGTAGCTCTCTCTCCTCTCCCGCTGCCGCCGCTGTCGTTGCCACCCGTTGAGGCCTTGGCCCTCCACTCCTCAGCTCTTCTTGCACTCTCCCTTCTCCTTGTTGCTGCTGCTGTTTCTTCTTCGCCTCTGGCCGCTTCCAGAAGCCGAGGAATCGTACAGAGGATCCCTTCGAGGACACTATCGTCTCGCGTCTGGGTTCCTCAGTTTGAGCACGACTGTGCAGTTGTCGTCGATACGTCTCAGGGGGACGTGGGGGTGGGAGTAGGGGCAGTGGCAGTGGAGGGGGCGCTGAAAGTTTTCGAGTGTTACTCACTCCACCGAGAGCGTTCAGCTCGCTCATAGACAGTGAGGTGTCTAACAAGCGTTGACGGTCGGTTAGTCGCCATGAGTCAATCATCTCAGAGATTTCTGCGAAGGGAAAAAACATTGTTTTGTTTCAAACGTTGTACAATGAGGTGTTCATGACCGCCACCGTCTACAAATCACCTCCTCAACGAATTAATGTACAATATTCACGGCACTAAAAATGCAAGTTTTGGACAAAATAATATTATTTTCAAATCCATCCCAACGATTCTCAGAATGGTTATTCGTTGCGTTTTGAATCATACCTATTCGGTTGATAAATCAGTTCCTATATGAAGATGTCCTTTATAACCCACCGTTGCATCCAGGCACTAGGATAATAACATAATTTGGTAATCTTGGGTTTTATGTCATGTCTCAAGGATCACAAACGAATAAAAACACAAAAGATGTTGGCAAATAAAGTAACTCAGTAATTCACGACCCATACAGAGTTCAGATCGTCAAAGTAGCAAGTTCCAACCTTTCATGATGCATCAGTGCCGTTCTGTGGCACAAGGTTCTCACAAAATACGCCATCTTATGGATGTCATGCACAAAACTTTTTAGGTGGAACACTGTTTGAGGTAATTGAATCTTTTGTTAATACGCCTTTTTTTCCTACCTACGTCCTGAGAAAGGCCCGCTTTTTTCTAGTTGAACTCGTTCGACAAACTATTTTTGTCGAAGGTGTTTGTTGCTTCAGAGATCACATGTCACCACAAGTACATCAGCCTTAGGATGGACTATAGGCAGGCTAGGTTGTCCCAAAGCACGGATTTAATTCTTTAGATCTTTGTTTCTCTTTCGGTAGCAGCAATGTCCCACCCTAACTTTATTTTTGGATTTAAGTCATAATGAATAAAGCAGTAAGACATTGAAAATGGAAACTTCTGACGGGTATGTAATTAAAAGGTGTGAATATGACTGCTTTCAAAATCTCCATTATCTATATTCCAAGGAATTAGGATATTTTCCAGCTGAAAATTGTCTAGGTGAAATTAAACACCTACTTGTGAGGCGGTCTAAACAATGCGTCTACTAAATGACATTCGAAATAGGGGAGTCCTTACAAATGTTCCATTATTTTCACTAGGCAGTAGTATTTCACTTAGTTGGACTGTCAAATACTACAGATTTCACACCTGCAATCATCAGGTTCTGAGATGTGAGCCTAGGATTTGGAACATCAAGAATTTTGAGCTCCTTCGTCAATGGGGTCAAAGTGTATAAATGGTAGGATAGGTAAAATAACTTCATCTACAAGGCATAGTTGTACACAGATAAGAAGGGCAATTTCTTACAAAACTACTACGACGCTACTGTGAAGTCCTACCTGCACCTTATTTATCTGTTTTCCTAGTCCACAAATTTGTAGCCTCCTCATCATGTCGTCCGTAGATCCAGCATTCCAGTGCTTCTGTAATCATATCGCAGTCTACTAAATTCGGTTTGAATGGTTAAAATCCTTATGTTTCCAGCATGAAATACTTTAGTACTTTTCTGTTACCAACATTCATCCGCTAGGTCTCACCCGCGCTCTGATTTGAAGGTAAGATTAACCTTGAGTTGGGGACTACTATTTATGAATCGTCAAACGTCTCCAAACGCAAAACAACCATCAAGATTTTACGCTTGAGGTTTTATGCGAATCCCTAATGAGGTACGAGTTAAGTTTTTCTGTCAAAGCTGCATAGAAATGACCTGTAACAAAGTAGGTTTAAACATCGTAGCTCAAGCTACTTTATCCACTGACAAAAACTACTGCATTAAATCCAATTCGGATTTTGGCTTAACTTTTGGGAGCTAACTCAAACTGGACCAAATGACATAGGGACGCACTAACCTAGAAATCATTTCAATGGAAGAAAAAAGAAACAGATTTTCTCATGATTCCACATCGGCGAAAATGTCGGACCAAACTCAAAACCCCATCCCATGCGAGCTTCCACAGCCAGATATTAGAATTACCCTTCGTTAAAAAAAGCGATTGCTAGCCAAATCCCTTCAATTTCAAGAGCCGAAAAGGGTGCATAGAGCATGCCCAATTATGCCGACTGACGGAATAAAATCTTCTGGTGCTGAGTGAATAACATAATTCCATTTGTCCTATTTTGGATTTATAAAATGGTAGTCATCCAACCGATAAAAAACTTAGGTATGCGTTTTCATTGAGTGTCCGATTGAGCGGAAATAAAGCCGTTCAGTAGTTGAAGAGAGCCGACAGTGTGGTTCCGTTTTGGATTTGGTTCAACAAATTCAGCTTATATAAGCAATGATTTCATCATCAAAGCGGAAACTTCATATGGATCGCCATATCATCCTATGGCTTACTGTAGTGAGGACAAATTCAGAGGCAACACATTTCACATTAACTAAATCTGTTGACCAAACACTCAAAACTAATAAAATGACTTAGCACAAGACAAAATTACGCCTTACAGTCGCTCGATAACATTCATTTTGATACAGGAAACAATCACCACTAAATTCAAGTCTTGTGTAGAAGATGCCCTACAAACCCTTTTTTCCTGAGGAAAAAAGGTGAATTTTTTTGCAATATCACAATGTATAGTTTGAAACAGAAAGGCAATGCAGGTCAACACAGGCGGAGGAGAGGGTGGAAGCTGCAAATTTAGCTGGCATGCAACGGTTAGGGTCAGTCGGCCGTCATGATAATCACGCACTACTTACCACCACTCGCCCCTAGAAGACACTGTGATCGCGGGTATTTTGGAAAGACCAAAGTTCGGTGATTCAGCACCGCATCTGTGTTGTGCCCGTGCAGAGCGGGTGTGTGTTCGATACGTGTGTGTCCGATGTTTCCCCTCCCGGCAGTCGTGACAGCCCGGCCTCATCCCCACCAGCCAACGCACCCCCGCACAAATGTACAACCATAAAACACACCCTGCAGAAAAAACCAAGGGTGTTGTGCACGAGTATGTGTGGCTTGAACCGCGAAATGCTTTATTCGAACCATTATAGGCATTCTGGTAGGCGAATCCAACTCCCCGGCGAAAGTGGTGAATGGCGAAATTCCATATTTGTTTTCGAAAAATGCACTACAGAATTTGCAAAAGTCTATCTGTAGACTTGGAAGGGGAAGACGATAGAGAGTTCGTTGTACCATATTTAAGGCAACTCCATTAGATCCGTTGAGAAATATCTTGTATCAGTGTATGCTAACACTTTACTTCTACACTATTCTGGAAGAGGAGTCTTACTACCTCAATAGTAGTAGTAGTAGTAAGAGGATCCTATTACCAAATTCCTACTTTTCGTAAACTTTAAAGTAGATTTTAGTCATAAAACCAAACAATTCCCTTACGGCTTCAGTCTAATATGCTGAGCAAGAAGAGGAGACAGATTGGGAGATAATGCAGTATTTGTTGAAGAAATTTCGATTGAAAACCAAAAATGCAAAGTTGTGCGTGTGCTGAGCCGACAAATTTCCCGTTGCTTGTCTAATTGGAACGGGCCTCAATAATGAAAGTTTGAAGGATTAAATGAAGGATTATGAATTTCGATATTCATCAACAGAAATTCGGAATTTGTCCTCAAACAACACTTCGGTCAAATTGGCAATTCTTCATTATTTCACTTTATTAAGAGGTATTTTACGGGGATGGGGCGCAGAAGAAGGAGATGCAACATCAGGTGATTGGGGAGCCTATTGGGTCACATTTGAAGTAATTTGGGAGAACCGAAAGAATATTGATGCCATCCAAACTACTTTGTGTAGGTGTGTTAAAAGTGTACATTCTTTTCGTTGTTAACTAGAATTGGCAGTCTAAGAATCGAGTACTGTGATTATCATTACGATGTGGTATTATGGACAGCTCACTGATAAGTTCTGAATTTTAACATTTTTAAAGGATATTTTAATTTTTTTTTAAAAATTTCCCTTATGTATCAGCTAGATAACTTGAAAGATTTATCAAAGAGACGAGAACCACATAATTTTGTACTTTAAAATGAGGTTTGTGCATGCAGATGGAAAGATGTCTTATTAATGGTCTTGGAGATAGATCATCGGCACATTTCGAACATCTAAACATCAGATAGAATATCTACACAATCGCTTTTTGAACCGTACAACTTCTCATTACAGTCGAAATCACTTTTTAGAAAGCGGACCAAGGGGGAAAACAAACGCTTGAGCACACCCATGGGTTGGCAGAAAGCTTGTGGAGGCATACTTAATCAACTTTAAGGAAATCGCTGAGGACACTAATGTGATCCAAGAAAGTGTGCGGATGCGTTTTTGACCTTCAAATTCCTCTCTTTGGGAGATGAATACACCTGCCTCCGCAACTACACACTGTGAGCAGTTCCTTGGCAAATTCGGTTTAATTTAATCCTCCAATAAATCTCCAATGAAGTAGGTGAATTTTCTTTGGAATCCTAATTAGCTTGAAGGGAAAATTTAGGATAATGTACAAGGAAGAGAAATTTCATAGTGCTGTCATCCACAGTACAGTGTATTTGAGTGTTTGATGAACCGCTGAACTCTTCTCAACTTGACCATTTTTTGGAAACTTTGGGAGGGCGATCGAATTTTCTTAAATAATAGCATCAAAGAGGACCTACTTTACAATTTTTAATCTTTATAAACCTCCGAAAATATTCTTCATTTAACTGTCAAAAAACCAACCGTGAATCGGGATTATTTTCAAGTAGCTAAAATAGGCGAGCATGGGGAGCCGACTTAATGATGGAGAGTGGAGCAAAGAAGATCCAAATGAATCAGCAAAATAGGTTCACCTAAAAACTACAAAGCTGAGAGAGCTTAAAAGCATCATCCGATTAATTGTAATAACTTGTACAAAAGAAGGAAAAAAAAGTTAACTTGACTAGTTTGTTTGTTTTTTTGCTTTTGTTTCTATTACAATAGCTGAAGGAGAACTCAACTTGCAAGTAAGTTCCTAGCATCAGACAAGCGTGGATAGAAGTGGACTGCAGTAAAGGAAGGAATACATGTTTTAAGACAAATTTAACATTTAATGTTACAAATATAGAATAACAAAGTATATATACGTCTTTTTATAGCAAAAATAAAATGCCTTCCAGAAGCATATTCAAATGTTTCATATTATGGAATAACCACTAATACAATCGACAGTTATTTCTCAACGGGATACAATTTTGGGATTTCTCCCTTTATAAAACATTTCATTCATCGAAACAAAAATCCTAGCTGTGGTCACCTTCGTTTCTATCGCCGTCCTATTTTTTTGCTTACCACCTCCCATATAATTGTTCAACACCAAGAAAAGTCGCTAAGTATTACTTGACGAGCATCATAAGGGGCACGGGGGAGATCGGGTGGGTCAGTACCTCTTCCTTCCGCTTTAAAGTCTAAATCCCCTCACTGACAAGTTTTGAGGCATAAAGCTCCTTGTTGTTGTGTAAGAATAATACATTCTTCCAACGGATTTATAAGCTGTCTTCTTCCACACGTTCGAGTCATCCGTAATTGGTCAGTGCCCAGTAAGTGATCAATTGACAATGGCCAGCTCTATCCGCAGTCCACCACACACAAAGCAGTCAATAGTCTTTCGAGAATGAAGTGGTACAGCCCTAGAACTAGTAAGCAGATCGTTTGTTTAACGCTTTAACACAAAAGTCATTTCGCATTACAAGTTAGTCCGTAAATATTCCAAAAACAGCCCACTTTTACAAAGCGGCAAAAATGAAAAACAGGTTAATGGACTTTGAAGTCCATTGCCATTCGTTAACGCCTGAGGCACTCGCTTGCTTGATAGCCTTCCCAACTTCTCCAGTTGAAGTAAGTGCTAATGAACATTACCGAACCTTCGTGATAAGTTAACCTCCATTTATTTTCATACCAATACGCAATTCTTCATCAATATCAAGAACAGAGGATTTTCTGAACACAATCCTTCTAAGTTGGGGTTTCTGGGAAGTATGTTCAACTATCTCAGCCTAGGGTGCTAAGCAGCATATTTCCCAAGAAGCTTCTCCAGCTCTGGAACAGAGCTAAACTGGGTTCGCAAAGCAGGTAAGCTCGAATTACATCTATCAGGTTCAACCGCCACTTGATGGGGGAGGGGTCTTAACGAGAGGCAGATAGTGGAGAATGGAATTCGGAGTACCATACCGACGAACCAACGCGTAGTTACACTTCAAAAGAGACTGATAGACATTTGGATTTTACAACCCAGAGCAAATTACAGCGACAAAAAAACCTCAGGAACTATTCCAATTATCTGATATTTTAGGCAAAAATTAGACGCGAAAGAAAAATACAGCCTCTACACTGGAAGATATACACTTTTCAGCCAGAAAAAGAAGCAATTTTCCGAAGTGCATGTGTCAAGGTTATTTGATAGAGAGAATTTCCTCCTAAGTAACCCATGTTTCGGCCTCCTTCCCATATTAATCATTCCGCCCAAAGTTCCAATAAGGAGTGAAACGAAACCCTTTCTGGAAATTTTTTAATAAAAGGCTTATTAAGTGCTACGTAAAAAGTCTTCATGAACATCCTTTTTATCCAGAATAAAAACCCAACAAAAAAGACTACCATCAAGTTATTGCCCCTCTGGGCAGGCGCAATAATCTTTTAAAGTGCGCTTAAAGAGTAGCTGCGGCATTTTGAGGCTCCAAAAGCGTTTTGGATCCAAGGAATACACAGTTCTTGTTGACTTAATCACCTGAACTTCGAAGAGCCGTTAAGTGGGCGTCCATCTTGCGCAGCTCCATGCAATTCGAAAAAACCTCTGATTAAATTCAAAAAGGCCACTTTTGTTTAAAAGGAAAGTTGGTAAGATGATGATAGCTATAACAAAGATTTTCAGTGAAACTAGATATGCAATGCTTTGAATAAAACCACTTTTGTGTACGAGGAAACAAATGACGTGTCTAGGGTAATTCTTAACTACTCTAGTGATGTCTCATTAATCATTTTTCAAGAGGTCAAATAAGTGGGAAGATGCAGGTCTTTGTCCAACGCACTTCAGGTCAAGAACTTTATTTATGTTCGCTGCACAAACTGATTTCTGGAGCATATAACCACAGCCGTAAACATAATGGTACCTTCTTATTACTATCTTCGGCATTTATTTTAAAATCTTTAAATTATTCTTAGTTGTGCTGTAAGTTACTGGCGTGGGACTTAATTACAACTATTGCATGCTAGTGATTTGTTATACGTTTCAGTATGGATTACTAAAGTTGACTTTCATAAAAATTTAGTGACGAAGAAAACTACATGAATAATTCTAAATACCGCTAAAAGTTCTATTGGCAAAGGCCTAGCCATATTCAGCAGCTCAGCAACAAAAGTGCATTTACCGAGCGCATAATTCGTATCATCAGATCGCAAATGCTTGAAATATGATTAATTTGGAATTTTCAATACCGCATGTTTGCAAATAAAGTTCTGCTCGCTTTGTCTAATTTCGAATTGCGCAGTTAAATTAAACTAGTTTTGCAAACATCTTCTGGCATGAACCGGCGACTCTTCCCACCAGTTAATTGCAATCTGTCAATGAGGCAACTAACTTTTCGCCTCGACTCCAGTAATGTGGAGAAATTGGCTGGCGATTCGGGAAGCTGACCAGTGGGCAGAATCTTCACTGGCCTTCAAAGCCTCCTTCTGCGTGAGGCGTGATCCCTTCTGGCTGCGGTGGGCTGCGCGGCGGGCGTCGCGTCGACGCGTCCGTGGCGTCTTCTCATCAACTCCTTCGCTGCCGTCGCCACCGCTGCTACCGCCAACAAGGCGTGTTGGCGTCCACCGACTCGGCTTGCTCGGGTAGTGTTTTGCTAACCACCGTGATAATTCGAAGGCTCGGCATAAGCGCGCTTCTACTGGGCTATCCTGCAAGAGATTGCGGCGCCGTTAAATATAAGATTTTCTGTTTTAAAGGGGACCAGCAAATCTAGATTTTAAATGTTCATCCACACTTAAGGTCCTACACAATTGAATGTTGTCAAATATGTTTCACTAAAATGCAAATGCATAAAGAAAACAAACCTGTTCAGTGCTACAATTCTACTGCAACTTTTGTTTATTACGCTTTCGTCCAGATGGACTGAAATCGAGACTTCGTGCTTCACGAAAATTCAAAAGGAACTTTATAATCAGGGAAAAAAAGAAAGAAAACCTAAAAATCGTTGGATTTCAGAGCCAATTTCCCGCCTGCTTTTGTACACGTCCATTACATGCAACTATTTTCGCTAGCCACGCACCGCAAAAGGAAAGAAAAATTTATCGACAGTTTTATGATGTCCCCCAAAAGTGACTTCACAGCAATCCCAGTCCCAGTGAACTATTACGGCTTGCATAAGTAAGAGCTATTCACAGTCTACAAGTCCAATGTTTAAAATAACCTTTACAAAAACGGTATTGAAGCATTTTTTGTACATACTCACGTCTAACTTATAGGGACCCTCATCTTTCTTGAGTTCAGACAAGTGCCAAAGACGCTGGTGAATGACCTCGGCACACAAGTTCGTAGCGTGCCAATGGGATGGGCAAAGCCAGCTTGTTGTCACCACCTTATTTCTGCCATCTGACCTGCATTTAAGTAGGCAAATTGATATCATCGAAATGAGGGAAAATCCTGGATTTAACTCGAGAAATAACTTACGAGGTTTTCTGAACATGTTCGACCGATAGGAAATTATCCTCCACGAAGACTGATCTCATCTTTTTCCATGGTATAAGAGCGTCCTCGCTAATATCATGGGTTCGCTTCAGTACTTGATATCTCCGCAAACCCATGGGTAGAATGACAATCAAGAAAATCTTCTCTTCCTCAATGTTTTCAAATTCATAAAAATGACCATTAAAACACGGTAGTCTGTAAAGAAACTCCAGGAATCTATTTTGGGATAGGTGAAATTGTTAGCCCTTTACCTCAACAATGCTTCACCTCTGCATGTAAGATCCGAATCAGAAAATCCACGTAGAATATCAAGATTAGTCTGAATATCATGCTCCATCAAAGGAACAATGTGACTACAAAGCTTGATTAGAAAGGTGTGGAATACGTTCGTGAACCAGTGAAAACAAACGACTTAATTCGATTAAGTTGATCCAAAACAAATTTAGGAAGCTCCAACTAATAAGAGTTAACCATCGGTAGCAATCTTACCTTATCTAAGCTTGCGACTCCGTAGAGGAAATATTGAAAGACCGATTCTATTGGGTAGATTCTTAAGATACTTGATGCAAAAAATCTGGCGAACTCAGAGGTAAGAGGAAAAATGCATACCTAATTCGCAAAAACAACGCGATTATAGGTAGTTTCTTGTGAAAATCAATCTCATAAAAAGTGCCCTCAAAAGGGAGCCACATGTAATGACCACTAGCCCTTGAAAAATATTCTGGACTTACTCATTGTCAATATAGTTTACTCCAATTCCCGAAAAATCGGGTATTCGTAGAAAAATAAGGATGGCTTTCAAAAACGAGTTAATATTAAAGTCCTTTAAATAGAAAAGCAAGTTCGTGACTCTACCTGAAATTCTATTTGCAAAAATGACTCATCCAGTAACTCAACTTCAATAAGCATTTTTCGTGTGAATTAAAGGCGCTTAACCTTGGGCCAATATAAACACCAACATTATTGACTTACAATTTGCTAAGATTATTGCACAATATATTAGCCTAAAAAGCGCCGAATGCACTCCCCAAAACTGTTTGATGATCAATTTCTTGAGAAACGTTTAAAAACACCTCGGCCTTGTTTCATGATCCTACCTGCGATGTCGCCGTTGGCAGTCTTCAAGGCATTATCTAACTTATTTAATTGATTTTTTGGTGGTTTAATAACCCATCTAGCTAATCAGCCTTAGGTTAGGTTTGAAAAAAATATGAATTACTGGGCTACATCTAACTCAAAAAATGGTTCTATATTAGCTGACAAAAAATTAAGTACAGTTTGCAATTTCTGCTGAAGTTGCACTAAACTTGGACAGGCAGTATGCTTTTGCTTTCTTTAAAAAGGTGAATGGCAATCACACCGCACTATGTTTGAACTATTTCAGTGAGTCTCCCACGGAATATCTGCCATATCAGTTTAGATAAAGGTGTATTTCTTGGGAGAATTTTGCCCTTAATACGTCTTTGGCAGCTGACCAAAACTTAGACCAACACCTGGTTAGTGTCAAATTTGAAGAAATATTGCAAGGGAATTTGAGTCGAAAACGACAACTTTGGGAGAGAACTTCAGCTGTAATGACTAAAAAACCACCTCTTTTTTGTGAAGACCATTGGATGAATACAGTTGGTTGGAGCATTGTTCTATCATAAAGGGTAAGAAACACATAGTCGCATCATAGCAGATCAAAAAAGAAACGCCAATTTTAATCCAATGTAATGGATGAGATAATGCAATACATATTACTTCGCTGCACCTTTTTAGATCGCAAGCCGTTTAGTCCCCAAAACCCCATCTTTTATTAAATTATGTTCTAATGCTTCATGTGACATGTGAATTTATACGACCTCTCTTTTTAAAAGAAGCCCTTTTTTCGACAAATCGACCATTTTACTCAAGGGGTATGGGGACGAAGGAAATTGGGAGACGTGCCAAAGCCTATGCAAAGCACTGCAGGCGTCGGCACCATGTTTTTTCTTTCCCCAAGACAAATCTATAGACAGTCGCTCTCGGTCAGTGTGTAGTCTCAAAAGTACTGTTAGAATCATACCAGAAAGCATCAATTTACAACGTTTGAAAAAGTTGACTCTGTGTCAGAGCGATATCTGTCTCAATCCTGCATTTAGTTAAATGGACACTTGATCCTCTCTGGGTTTCGTAGCGATTATAAAGGAATCGGATTTGTTTTGCTATTCTAATCTTAATAGCTATTCTTCGACGAGGCACTGCTCAGTATCTCTGCGAGAATGGGTATGAGAGATATAAGTCTTAGGCAATGAAGACAGCGGCTTAATTCCTTTTTTTTTTAAGAAATACTAATATTTAGGTTACCTTTAAAGGCATTGCATTAATTTGGGGAAATGCCTAAATATGTTCCCTTTTTACTTACATCTATCTTTTGGTTGTTCACAAAAAGAAAATTCAAACCAAGCAATCCGGAAGCAGGCTTTTGCTGTTTAATTAGACTACTATATAAAATTATTTAGCTCTAAATACATAACATGGAAACGTTTTCCACTGTTTTAATACAGGTGACCAGGACCCATCATTTACGGTTTCTGATAACAACACGAAAATGTAAATGGTATTCGGCTAATTGTCATATTTTCGCTAGGTTAGCTAGGTAAGTACTTAAAAGCAATGCGGCAATTTAGACTCGGGCTATAGTATAGGAGTCTTGAGCAATAGTAGCAGCTTATTGTCTCTTACATTTGATTATGAATCTCAAGCCGCGTCTGGCATTTTTCTTTCTCCCTGGGGAATTTTCCTCAGGTACACATGCAAATTCCTTGCAAATATCACTTTGCGAAATGCTTTCTAGGCATGCTTTTTATGAGTGCATATCAGCTTTCATTTGTGTTTATTTATATTCCCGTGTTAATAATGTGACCTTTATTTGGTTTCCCCCTAGAAGACGCATGTTACGCCTTCCCCAGCGTTAATTACCGTTGATGGATTGGACTGGCGTTTCTTCTGAGTAACGGACTATCATCCTCATATTATGAGTCCATCTACATCATCTAGAGCTCGTTACCTAATGTCATTTGGGATTTTTGTTGCCACTTATTTGGCTGTTGACTTCATCCGCCTTTTGTTTTTCCTTTAGGTTGCGCTGTATGTCGTGGACGCGGAGCTTGGTATAATTTTATTTTGAGTCTTTAGATTCTACGGATATGTTGATTCCACCCAATGCTGACTGAAACAGCCGTGAAGACTCAATTCTTCGATGGCTCACCTTCCACTGATTAGCTGAAAGGTGGAGAGACCCGAACCCGAGGTGGATGTACGGACTTCCCACGCTTTGAATTCGTCCACGTTTGTTTTCCACCATCCTGATTTGGCTGTGTGTAACCACATTTGCATATGACAGTTCTTAATCCTTCTCCTTTGCAATAAATGGCTCAAATTACCGTCACTTTTTCTCCAGCTTTTGTTTTGGCTGCTCTATCTGGTAACACCTCAAATTATCGTCTCTACTCGACCATGCACGCTGTAGGGGTCTTTATAGGAGGATCCTACTTTTGTGTAACTTTTAACTTCTGCCAATGTTGGGATCATTACCCGGTACAGATTCTTATCGTGTATGTGCCTTTTCAGCCTATGCGCAGGCTACTATTTATTGCGTTTTTTGTCCACTCATTATTGAAGGGAGGGGCATTGTGTGCAGAAACCACTTCTTGACTTGTCTGGATAAAAATGAGCAGACGATTCGATGAGCGAACACTGACGGCTGGTTGCTTCCCCGTTAATGGTAGTGTTTAAGGCGGTTGTGGTCGCCCATGTCCGTTAGTTTCGTGAGATAGCTAATTACCTCTCTCCTCAGATAGAGTGAGACCTCTGGATTCTATACCGCCGGTTGATGAGCGTAGAAGTTCCCCTCTTCAAGATTGATGTTATTTACTCAAGTCACTTTCCATATCGCTTGAGTTTAGTGGAGAGTTGTACATGTGGTAAAATTTTTTGGTTAAAACTGCCTGGATACCTTTTTTGGTTATTTTTTTAACCGTGTGTTCCAGGCAAAACCGAATCAACATCCGTAATGTCTGGCTGCTATTACTTATTATTCGTAAATGGGTGGGCATTTGCTGTTTTTGCGTTCAGTCTTTATATTTTGTTGCACTTTTTTATCATATTCCTACCGGCGAACAGGACGGAGTGCTTGGCCATGATCAGCGATATCTAACGACTTGACTTAAGCATTTATTTATTACCCATGTCCACTTCTTAAATGTTCCATTTACATTAACGATGTTTTCCTTTTTGATGCTACTTCTTTTTATCGACTTACTCAGATGGATTCCAGAGAGGCAGCATCACTGCTGGAGCCCTCGCGGATTCGGGCACTACCTGATGACGTGGTGAACAAAATTGCCGCCGGTGAGGTCATCCAGCGCCCCTGCAATGCCGTCAAGGAACTAATAGAGAACAGCCTTGACGCCGGTAGCACCATGATCCAGGTAAGTGATGTTGATCGATACAAAAGCACTCTCTGCGATAGGCAGCTGGGTAAATTAGTCTCCTGTCATCGTAGTTTCATGTTCTGGATATCTACAATGCCTCGTCCGTCCACAAGTTGAACAATTTTCCCGTTAAAATTATGCATCATGCGATTGCCTCTCGATTTTTCCCACCGAATATGGCCTAAAACTGCCGTTTTTCTTCCTTAAAACTCGACACCCAGAAAATTGAGAGTTTAACACTTTTTTCTGCGCAGTACTTTTACCATCGTTTCGGCTGAAGGCGTTATTGTAAAATCAGAATGGATTTTAGCCATAGCTTAATTTTAGACCAGTCCATGTGATCGGCATATTCTTCACGGTTTTGTCTTTCTCCAAAACATGCACCCTAGTCTGTACTGTTCTACTTTACCAGATAAAACAATAAATTATTTTTTTCCTTTGCTGCATTTCAAGTGTTTTATTTTGGTTCTCTCCTCTATTATGATCGAATTTCCTCTAGGAATATTTGTATTTGTCGAGGATATAGTGGAGGGTTGGAAGGCTGGTTATACTAGTATGGTCAGAGTTTAATGCCATCATCGTGTTGGCGTAATGTTGCTTATAATTGAAGCAAATATTTTTTTGACTACATCCTCAGGTTAGCCTTCGTGGAGGCGGGTTGAAGATGATTCAAGTACAGGACGATGGTCATGGCATTCACCCTAACGACCTACCAATTCTCTGCCACCGCTTCACAACCAGCAAACTCCAGGTGACTTGTCTCCTCTTCTTGTGGGGCCAGATTATCCTTAAAGATGGTAAGGCATACATTTCTAGAATTAGATTGGTGTGTTTCAAAAAGGGCTGGGAAAATAAGTATACGGGTGGCATAAACATGGCTTCATGCCACCATTGTGGCATCCGAATCCCCTTTTTTCGAGTATGGAACCTCGAACTCCCTCTCTCTCCTTCAGAATTTTGAGGGCCTTTCAAAACTGCAAACATTTGGCTTCCGTGGTGAGGCACTGGCCAGCCTGAGCTACGCGGCCTCCCGTCTCACGGTGACCTCACGGCCCCCAGCTCTGAGCTGTGCCTACCGAGCGGAGTACAACCAGGGCGCGCTCTCCACTTCTACCCCTACACCCTGCGCCTGCGCTGGCAACCCCGGGACCTGCATTCAAGCTGAAGACCTCTTCTTCAACCTCCCCTCCCGTCGCGAAGCTCTTCGTTCCTCACGGGAGGAATTTATGCGAGTTGCTGAGGTGGTTGCTAGGTATTGTGATCCGTTTGTGTTACGTGTGGTCAGTGAAAGCTGCTGTCATTCTTCGTAAGAGTGTATTCCACAGCACTATTTTCAGTTAATTTTGGGAGGATTATCCGGCTAAAAGCTGCTTTATCCCTCTTAGACGCTTGGTGCTGTCGGGTACGCTCAATTTCATTATGTTCAGTGGTGTGTTGTGTCTGGTTTGGAAACAGCTTTGTTATCAGTGTACCGAGAGGTTGAGAGACTATTAACTTAGTTGATTTGATATGTTTGTATGCAATGTGTTGATGGCTAAAGGTTTGACCAGCAAGGTGACATTATCTTTCCCAAGGGATAAAAGGGGTCGGAACTAGCAGAAGGACAATATCAAGCATGCGCACTTGGAAGAAACTTTATAATGGATCTGCAGAAGGACTGGAAGGCTTTAAATCTAATTTCTTCCATTTTATAGCTGAGTAGCCGCTGTTAAATTAACATTCCCAATAATTTTTTTTCCTTCATCGTTGTACCGCCTTGCTACAGTACTTATTCGTGTGCTTTTGGTCTAGAAATTATGAGTAATCTTGTCCTACGCATTCCCTTTTGGTCCTAGTGCTCACTAATTACTTAGAATCTCATTTACCCAAGAAATTGGCTCTCTTCTAAGGTTTTGAAATGGCGAAGAAATGGTGCTGCACTTTGAAGTCTTTCATTAAGTCTACTGCACTTTGTACTTGATCATTCGGTCAGATGTGGTCTATTGTTAATGCTTGTCTTTTAATATCATGGTTTATTGTATGCTGTCACCTCAACGTGTTGTTTAGGTATAGCATCCACTACGCAGGTAAATGCGGTTTCTTTCTGCGTTCGCTCGATCGTAAAGCAGGTCCTGGAGCCGGCCCTATGTCTACTGGGGGTGGTAGGTGAAATCTCTTATATCTATCTTATTGCCTCTCATCTTGTTTCTTTACACTAGTGGTCATTCTTTTTATGGCTAGACTTCCGAATCCCAAAAGATTGGGACAAAGTTCACGTTATTCGTGCCGTGTTCGGTGAAAAAGTTACAGGTGACATCTTGCCCTTATCACACAATCAGGACTTCGATTCTGCCTCGGTTCGTCTCGTAATCGGTAAATTGGGTCTCAAATTCGAGGGCCTTCTCTCCAACCCGGATAAAATCACCTCAGGTTGTCTTTTTTGGACTACTGAAATTGACGTGAGCAGTTATACCTTGTTACTTATTCGTATTCTCCTTGCAGAGGGCACACCATCAGTCCAATTAGTGCTCTTTGTAAACAACCGGTTAGTCGAATGCACCTCCGTGAAGCGAGCTGTGGAGGCGGCCTACGCAGCTCTTCTACCACACCGGGCCGCTCAGCTTTATGTCGGCCAGACGCGCCCTGCGGTGGTCACTTCCTCCACTGCCTCCTTGTTTGCCTATCTGAGTCTGGAAATGCCCACAACATCGTTGGACGTTAATGTGCATCCAACCAAAGCCAAGGTTAACTTTCTTCATGAAGTACGTCCTGTCAGTAAGTGCATGCGCCGTTGTCTCATTCAAGGCTGTAAAGGAGATTGATATTTCCCGATACGTCGCCTTGGTGAGATGCACCATGTAAACCATACATCATTGAGAGTGAGATTATAGGGCATCTTGCCTTCGGTTTCTAGAACCTCCTTCACGAGATAAAGACTGGAGATTATGGATCTTGCACTGTTTCCTGTGCATAATTAACTCCGTTTAGTTTTTTTAAACGAGTCTCTTGGTAAATGTAGTAAACAGAAGACGAAACCAGGGTCGGTTCTGCTAAGCACTGCCATATCCACTCGTGGGTTGGTTTACGACATCATGCCACTTCCACAGAGGAATCCATTGGGTAGAGGTACGATATGCTCCTCTGATTTCCCATGTTCCCATTTCTCTGCAGACCATTAGAAAAGGAATTGAGTAACTTACTGTGCCCTGTGTGCTTCTCGCTAGAGCATCATTGCAAATATCTCAAAAAAATGTTCCCTGATATTCCTCTATGGTGATATCATTTTACGAGAGACGCTCAAGACACTTTTGCGCTGTTAGAAGTGATGAAGTTAAGAGCAGAGATGTTACTCGATCTCATCTGCGTTTCTTTTGGCTACCTCTATCTGCAAATCGACTACTCTTACAGTTTGCTATGAGCTGTCACTCGAGTCTGAAGATGGCAGTTTCATTTCTACATAAGTTGCTCTAAAGACGGAGGAATAACGTTCTGGCTTTGTGGTGAGGTGAATGGAGAGGCCTCCAGGCGCCTAGTCACCTCCAAATCCACGATAACGATAACCGGAAAGGTGATTGGGAGCACTGTCTCCCTCCATAAACCTGAGTCACACCTAGTTACTGCCTGGAAAAGTCACTTTCTACTTTGAAGCAAAACAGTTCAGCGAGGCATAAAACTTTTCTAACGTTGCTCTTATTTATTTTCTGTCTGTGTAGCATTTCGAAGTAGATTTTGATGCTCCATCTGATGACGGGTTGATTGTATTACTGGCGATAAATTCGTAACTTTGATTACACGTGAAGCTCAGTAGCTTTAAGTAAGTCCTGTTGTGCATTTTCCGCGGTTGCCTTGCCCTCGTTTCTCCAAAATGCGTCTGGAAACACATGATTTTGGCGCGAAGGCTAAATGTGAGTGTTCCACTGATTTCCTGATTTCGAAAAGAGTGAACTAAGGCACTCAAGGTGGGACAAGATGTCGACAGCCGCGAGTTCGTTTAGGGCATGCTCAAGACAGGTTCCCAAGAAGACGAGGTGGGAGGTGCGAAAGTCGACAACACTGTGCGAGTGCTTGGGAAAAAGGCGCCACTTTGTGGACTTTACGCCTCAAGGAGATTTGAGTCCGACCTTGTGCAGGGGGCTGCCAAACGTCTCTCCTTTTCTAATGCACGGGTACGGTGACTTTCTAAATCTGGTAGGGTCATTAAAGCAAAGTCACCAAATTTTTTAAATTTAAACTAATTAATTAGTTTTTGGGTAATCAAATCGATTTTTATTATTTGCATTTTTTAGCATTTTTCTCACACCATCTATTATTTTTACATCTTTTTTTTGCCTTCTGAAAGTTTTATGTTGCCTATTGCTCAAAATTATAAGTAGTATTAGTCAATACCAATTCGTTCATCGCTTTTAGGCCTAGCACATTGTGCGTATTTGATTTTAGGTATTGTTACCTTTGTCTTTACTGATGTTTGGCTAATAGTCGGCTTTATTTCTCCTTTTCTACCTACTTTAAAACAAATGTGCTGCGTGCTTGACTACTTGAAGCACTATTTTACTTACCTGAAACAAGTGCCTTGAAACTTTCTAGAACCTGGACCCAGGCCTGTGGGGCGATTCGCTTGTTAACCTCACACCTTAACGGTATTGATTGAAACACAAGAAATACTACAATCCCTACTTCTAGATTCCCTTTTCCGCTATCTCAAATATTACTCATTAATTTTTTATATTACTTGAATGTTCTCTTTCTAGTAGCGTCTCAATGTGTGTTAACCAAATCTGGAATGGCTTTTTTGGATTTCCTTTTCCGCAGGATGAAATAGCGACAGGGATCAAAGATGCCATAGAACAGTCCCTAGTGCGCTCCTCTGGCTCTCGGAATATTCTCTTTCGCTCCCTATTTCTCAAGGATTTCCAGGACGATCATCATCCGTCCACACCTCCTCCCTCTTCTCGTCCAGTCTTCACCATCCCCACTCGCACGCCCTCGCCCACACTCCGAACTCCTGCCTCCTCTCCAAGCCCCCGCCTTACCACCCACATGTACCGCCCCGAACGGCTGATCCGCACAGATGCTCGCGATCGACGTCTAGAAGCTTTTCTCAATCCTTCCCTTACACCTCCCCAGAAGCCACAACCAGTCAGCCCTGAAGTCATCTCAGACGCTGAGGTTTCCCCTCCCAAACCGGCGGCACCGGTTCCGGAGACTACTTACTTACAGACTAGCGATACAGTCGCGTTATCTACAACGCCCGTCTCTGGTACGCTACTTCTATTCTTTTTTTATCCATGTCTATGTAGATGAACTGCGTCTGCGCAGAGCAAGAAGACCTGTGCTGCTTGAGTCAGTGCTGACAATGAGAGAGGCAATAGAGGCCAGGGCCTCTGCGGATGCGCGCTCTCTATTGCGAGAATGTGTCTTCGTGGGCTGCGTCAGTCGCTCCAACTGTCTCGTTCAGCAGTCCACCAACCTGCTGCTCATGCGGCTTCACCCCCTTGCGAGGGAACTCTTTTACCAGCTGATGGTCGCCAATTTCGCTAATCATGGAGAGGTGTGTGTGTTTATGTGTGATGAACAGGTGGTACAGCTGCTGGTCAGAGTATGTATATTTCGCATATCGTCGTGGTTTCGATTAGTAGTGGCAATCGAATTGACTTCCTGTCTAGCCCCAAATCATTACTGCAGACGTAAGATAAAGGATGGTTTATCATTGGTGCACATAAAGGCTGAAAGTATGGAGACGTGGGTAGAACGCTGTGACGCGAAGGTGGTGGAACAAACCACGAAGACTGAAGACTCTGCGCAGTTAGGTATCAGTTTAGGCTAATGTTTTACTGTATAGCTCCCTTCTTTTGAGCGTTGCCCTTAGTGTTCTGCACGGTCGCTCTTCAGCTCCGATCGTGACGAATCTTCCTGGGCATTACGATTAACTGCAAGACAGAAAAGACGATGATACGGTAAAGTTGTGTCGCATTGTATTGCTGTTTTCTGCATCTATTTCTACCCGTGGGGACTAAAACAGCTATGTAGTTTAATGCATGGGTACCGTCTTACCAAGGTGCCTTCCTTCCTAGATGTTGCTATCCACTCCGGCACCAGTTCGTACTCTGCTAAGTCTGGGGTTGAGAAGAGCTTTTTCGAAGACCTCGGCCGGTGAAATCGCGGTGATTGTGGACAAGGGCTGTTCCATTCTTGAAAAGCGGAGCGCCATGTTGTGGGATTACTTCTCCATGAAGGTGGAGACTGATGAATATGGTGTCCTGCAACTCTATACCCTCCCATTTTTAATGGATCGGTGAGTTTGCACCACCATATTATCTGGAAATGATACCCTTTTATTGTAATTCTTACAGTTTCATCCCAGATATGCGGCACCTTCCCACCTTCCTGGCTCGGCTTGTTAGGGAGGTTAATTGGAACGAGGAGGGGGCTTGTTTTTCAGCTATCTGTCGGATTACGGCGAGCTTTTATGCAAAACGGGTGAAAGATGCAGTGAAACTGAAGCCGGCAATGGGTGAGAGGTGTGATTCCACTTTAGCGAATTCGTCTGACTCCTCGATAAATGAATCGGATGAGAAGGAGGGGAGAGACGTGGAGACTGTGGAGGGTGATCAGAGTTCCACTTCGTGGAGTTGGACTGTTGAACATGTGTTGTTGCCATCAATTCGAACGGTCCTGCTGCCCAGTCACACCATGTGCTTCCCGACTAAAGAGGAAAAATCTCCGGCTCTTCTTAAGCTCACATCCCTACCAGATTTATATAAAGTGTTTGAGCGTTGTTGATTCAATCAGCGCGTGGGTTAAGAGTTTCATAAATGTATTCTTTTCTTTTGGTAGCATTCTTACTAAGTATCTTGAGGTAGGAATTAGCGAGGGTGGGTCCCGTAGCCAGGGCTTCTGCACGGGTTTGCTCTCACAACTATCTGAGGTACTATCGGTGGTGGCTAGGTCTTAATAAGCACCCGCGGGTGTGGCCCCCACTGCATCAAACGGTAGGGCGACGGGGGCGTCAACCGTCCGGTTGTGGAGCCGTCGGGCGGTAGGTTTTTCGCGTGCCGGATGGCTAAGGTGTCCGCAGGTTCCATCGCTGGCGATGATCTTGGAGACGAGAGAGTTCTCAAAAAAAGTAGTCGAGGGGCCCGTTTGGAGGTGATGGTGAGAGTACATGCATAAAGTTTCAGGTGACAATTTCTGCTTTGTCTACGTGTATGTGGAAATTGCACTGTGCCCCTTCAGCTGCATAATTCTTGATAAAAGTGTTTTGGAATGCTTATATTTAGGTGATAGCACAATAAGTTTTAAAAGAATATGAATTTTGTTTTAATTATTACCGAATATTAGGTTTCACTCTCATTGTGTTTCAGCCAATAGGATTTATCGTTTCCGTGGCCATATTGGATACGTTGCCTTTCCGTTTCCTCATTCAGGTCAGTTTAAATCTGTCGGTGGTGTGCGCGTGTTGTGTGTCTTCCATGCTTCCAATCAGCGCTGCAGGAGCGTGCGCGCGTTCCCCAGCAGTTTAGAGTCCTTTCTTCCGTGAAGATGGTATAGACCCGTTTTTTTCTTTAGAGTGTTCATAGAATGTGTGTTGTTTTGGTGTTAGTAGGGCTTTATGGCGTGTGGGCTAGAAAAGATGGCTGGATTCGAGTGCGTAGTTCAATAGCTCGTTGACCATGTTTTTTATTACACGTTTTCGGGAGTTCCGCTTTTTCCCCATTTTTAGTGATGGTGGATGAGTCCCGGCATCAACAGCGTCGCTACGGCAGATTGAGCGAATCATCGAGGTATGCCTCTTGTTTTCTGTTTGGTGGTTTTTGTTTTTTGAGGATGCTCAGTTTCAGTTGTTTCTGCCATCTATGGACCAGCTTGGTAATTGTCAACGGTTTTGGCATGTTTTCGCCAACTCCATAGACTAGATTTTTAATCTTAGTATAGCCTTAAATTCGACTTTAACTCTTCTTACATGGTCAGTAAAATCGTGTTGATGTCTCTGCCCTCGGTCAACATGATCTTTCCAGTGCCATTTTTCGACTTGACCATTTCCTGTGATTCGGTTTTCTGGCTGTTGAAGTTGATAAGTTATGCCATAACAGTAGTTTTCTCGAACTGTGGGATGTACTCTTGTGTTTGATATATTTGCATGCAAATAAAATTTCGTACACATTTTGCTGGGTCTTCTGTGTTATACTGTTTGCGTCAAGTAATGCGTATGAGCCGTAATTGTTGGTAGTAATGTGGTTTTCGGCAGAACACGTGGTCTATACTTTCAAAAAGTCGTCGTTGGGTTATTTCTGTGGGGAGGCGCTGATGCGCTGCCAATTTGTTGACACTTTAATGTTTAGCTTTCTTATGATGCCAGCAGCATTGCACTCGTTATCTTGGTTGAAAGGTAGCCCCTTAGTTGCTTGCTTTCGTTGGCGTCGTAGCGGCTGGCAGGCGTTTTGGGGCACAGGTGCGTTGCTGGCGAGTTCGCTTTATTGCTATGTTCTGGGAATAGTGCTGCAATGGGAATGGGCCTCGAACATGGGGCAATTGTAAGCCTTCTGCCCGAACAAGGTGATGATTTTGTGCGTGGGGCCTTATTTGGCTATTTGATTGGGTGTTTGGTCGCATCAAAGTGTTGGTTCCAATTAGGCGACGGGGTGTGTTGCCCACACAGAATGTGGTTTTGCTGTAATTTGTGATTAGGCTTGCCTCCAACGGCCGGTGAGGGCGATCGTGGGGCCGGTTGCTCACGACTTCTGTGATCAGCTTATTCTGCGGTTGGGTCTCGCCGTCCGTATGGGGCATTTCGACACATGTTGGGGGCACTGGTGGTATCCTGTTTAACGCGCGGTGTCTTCCTTCTAGGAGTGATGACGCTGATGACATCCCAAATCAGGTGGAAAGCTTTGGGCAGAATTCCTACGGCTGCAAGCCGGAGAAGTCCCGCAAACAGAACATACGGGAGGTTGGTTCAAGCTCTTAGCGCAGGCCTGTGGTGGGATCTGCGTGAGAAATGGTTTGCTTAACCTTTGTTTCCTTTTTACAGCTGCGAGACGACTTTGATTATGATCCTGAACTTTACGGAATAAGGCGTTCTGAGAGGGGTCGCAAGGCGACACGCCTTGAGGTCGATCACGATGATTCTTCAGGCTCACAATCCCCCGTGGGGCGGGGTTCCGATCCCTCGGAATCGGAGTCGGAGGAGGATGAGAGTTCGTCCGAAAGCAGTTCTGATCGAAGGCCCTATCGTGTTAACGTTTGCAGCTTGTTACTGAGATTTGCGCCTTTTCTCATTATGTGCTTGTGTAGTCAATTTTCTATGTTCTTTCATTCAGCAGACTAGTCGGTTTTCGGGTCGGACGCGTGGTTGCAGAGTCAACTATACTAGCGCTTTCAAAGACGCGAGCGAGTCTGAAGATGAAGCGTCATATCGGCCCCAGAATGGAAGTTCGACAGACAATCGCACTCATCGCGGTCCGGCGGCAGCGAGCCTTAATAGGTAGATCATTCTGGATTTTACAACTTGTTTACCAATGCTCGGCGTTCTCTTACTCCCTTGGCGGTGTGTGAGTGGTTGTCGTGTCCACGGTCCTCTACGTATGTATACATGTAACAATAATCACTTGTATTATGTGTGTGCAGAAACCAGCACGCGCTGCCTCAGAAACCGCGAGGTCCTCTGATAAGGATGTCTGGAAAGGCGCCCGAAAGGTTAGAGCACACACTGCCTGCACACCTTGTCCTCATCATCCCATTTATCCTGCCTATCACTGATTTGTTGATCAATTCACCGTCATTCTTGCACTGCATGCTTCCGCTTTTCCATCTAACACAGGTTTCGACTATTCAACGTTTGAGATTGCCACCACTCAGGCCGCTTATTTCCCACTTTATCTGCAGATATTTCAACCCAGAAGTGGCGAAGCAAGCGGACACATCAGACGCAGAGTCCTACGCACCCCACCACGGGCAATCGTCAAATGAATCGTCGGTTGAGGATCCACGGCCAGTTCAGGTCGCCTATACGGCTGATGAGGCGGTGCAGCAGGAGGTTGATGTGATCGAGGAGGTTCTTAGTCAGGCCGTACGTCGTATTGGCGCTACGGGGAACTCCACAACGTTGTACAACTCTCGTCTTGAGAAGGATCCGAATGAGGGCTTTGATCCAGCGAAGGAGAAAGGTGAAATTCAGTACCTCATCAAGTGGCGGTCCTGGAGTCATATCCACTCCACATGGGAGACGGAGGCATCACTAACTAGCCCCGATCGGGGTTTTCCTGTTGATGGTATGAAGCGCCTCTATGCCTATCAGTCGATGATTGAAGAAAGAAAGGCTCATGAGGAGGTGGCTAGTCGAGACGAACTGGAGGCCATGCTTTATGAAGATGAGCGGAACGAGCTTATACTGTCGGAGAAGATGGAGGTGGACCGAATCGTTGCTCACAGTCGGGACAAGAAGAAGGGTACCGTGGACTACTTGTGCAAGTGGCGTCGACTTGACTATCGTTTCTGCACATGGGAGTGTGGTCAAGTGATTGATTACCTCTTCCCAGAAGCGATTGAAGCCTATCATAGAAGATGTAGCTCCACCACGCTGCCAAATTCACGCAATGTAGCTCTTACGGACCGGCCTCGGTTTGCTCGTATTCTGGAACAGCCCAGCTATATCGGCGGTGGAAGTCCAGACCTGCAGTTGCGTGATTATCAGTTAAAGGGTCTCAATTGGATCGCGCACGCCTGGACTCGTGGTAACAGCGTCATTCTTGCTGACGAAATGGGTCTAGGGAAGACAGTTCAAGCAGTCAGTTTTCTATCCTATCTGTTCCATGAGTATGGCATCTACGGACCTTTTCTCATCGTCGTCCCTTTGAGCACTATCAGTAGTTGGCAAAAGGAGATCGAGTTGTGGTCGCCGGGTCTCAACTTGGTTGTGTACGTGGGTGATCATATTTCCCGCCAGTTCATCCGGGAGCATGAGTGGTCGCGCGCTGCTGGGGTCGGCGGGCGACGGCAGCAGATGCTTAAGTTCAACATCTGCATGACCACTTATGAAATACTACTGAAGGACAGATCATGGCTTGGACAGGTTTCATGGGCTGCGTTGGTGGTTGATGAAGCTCATCGCTTGAAAAATGATGCTAGCCAGTTGTACAAAGCCCTGTTCGCCTTCGACACCAACACCAGACTGCTGATTACTGGTACGCCTCTTCAAAATTCTCTCAAGGAACTATGGTCCCTGCTCCACTTCTTGATGCCGAGGCATTTTGACGATTGGGAAGAATTTGAGGACAACTACAGCCTCCAAGGCCAGGCCTCTTCGTCTGCTGGGTACGAGGCCATCACCCGTCTGCATCGCACCATCGAGCCATTTCTATTGCGGCGAGTGAAAAAAGATGTTGAGCAGTCCTTACCTGCCAAAACGGAGCGAATTCTTCGGGTGGAGATGTCGAAGAAGCAAGCAACACTCTACCGTCTCATACTTACACGCAACTACGATGGTCTCATGAAGGTCACCCATGGCCATAAAACGTCTTTTATCAACATTATGATGGAGCTGAAAAAGTGCTGCAATCACGCAAACCTTATAGCCCCTCTCGCCGGGGAAGACCAGTTTCAGTCGAATGGGGAAGCTCTTCGGGACCTCATCAGAGGGAGTGGGAAACTGATGCTTCTTGATAAGTTGCTACAAAGGCTCAGACCTCAGGGTCATCGTGTTCTCATATTCAGCCAAATGGTGCGCATGCTAGACATCATCGCTGAGTATCTCCAGTTTCGTGGATGGGGCTTTCAGCGTCTGGACGGCTCGATTCGCGGTGAGCTGCGAAAACAAGCGCTTGATCACTTCAACGCTGATGGTTCCACTGATTTTTGTTTTCTCTTGTCAACACGAGCTGGTGGTCTCGGCATAAACCTAGCAACAGCTGATACGGTTGTCATCTTTGACTCCGATTGGAACCCCCAGAACGATATTCAGGCACAGGCGCGCGCACATCGTATCGGGCAGACAAAACAAGTCTCTGTCTATCGATTGGTTGTGAAAGACTCGGTTGAAGAAAAAATTATTGAAAGTGCCACCCGAAAAATGTTGCTTGATCACTTGGTTATCCAACGTATGGATTCCGCAGGCAATCGTGGTGGTGGGAGTGCTCGAAAGTCTGATGCAAAGGGCCAAATTCTTACTGAAATCCTACGCCATGGTGCTGAGAGCATCTTCAAGCAAAATGACGAGGAAACTGCTGAGGTAGAGGTCGATATCGATGACATTCTGAATCGTGCTGAAACGAGAGATGCCGATGTGGAGGAGGATCCCTACAACCCAGCCAATGTTCTTCTCTCCACGTTCAATGTCGTAACCTTTGATCAGTCGGAGCAAGAGGACGCAAAGCCAGTTCATATTGATTCCTCAGGCAAGTCGGCCAAATCCTGGTCGGAAATAATTCCTGAGGAGATGCGGGAGAACTTGAAGCAGGCGGAGAGTCAGGAAGCGCTCCTCGACCTTGAATTGGGGCCTCGACGGCGGAAACAGGTGAGGACCTTCCAGGCCGGCTTGGATAACGACAATTACTCGAGCAGTAGTCCTTCTGGTAGCGATCGTAATGGCAAGAGGCTCATTCGATTGTCAGATAAGGAGGTGCGTGCGCTTGTTCGGGCGATGAAGCGGTTTGCTCGTCCACTTGAGCGCATAGAGGCAATTGCCGCAGAAGCTGAACTGCCTTCTCGAACGAATGATGAGGTGCGCGAAGTAGTGGAGACAATAATAAATGGCTGCAAGGCTGCAATCGAGTCAGCTCCAGAGGAAGAGGACAATTTGAAACAGAAGGGCCCGATGTACTACTATGGAAAGGTTGCAATTGCTTCAAAGACTCTGCTTCTTAGCCTAAGTCACCTGGAGATTTTACATAAAGTGCTCCCAAAGACCTCGAAGGAGGATCGGTTGAACTACGATCTTCCATTTCCTACTAGAGACGTTAATTGGTCTACCCCATGGAGTTCTACGGATGACGCTCATCTTCTCGTTGGTGTGTACGAGCACGGCTATGATAATTGGGAGGCTATAAAGCTGGACTCTGACCTTGGTCTTGGTTCAAAGTTGCTTCCATTAGCTGCAAATGAACGACCTCAGGCAAGCCATGTCCGCGCGCGAGTCGAGTATCTGCTCAAGGCGCTGAAGAAGCACTGCGCCAAAGACAGCTGTGAGGACTCCCAGAAAGGTGCTCTTCGTCGTCGTCACAACAAGTCCTCTAAAGAACATAAAAAGAAACACTCTAAACGTCTTTCAGGTTACGCTCATTCCAAAGAGTCTTCCAGATCAAGCGTGAAACCCAAATCAGCAGAGTTTGTTGAGTCTGACGATAGTTCCTCCGGTTCTGATGGGGGTGCTGGTGATGCGGATGCGCCTTCGATTTCAGCTGTACCACCTTTGCGCATAAAAAAGACACCCCAGAAACGGCATTTAAAAATTGAGAATGTCGATGATCGACCACCAAAGAAGAAGGCTAAATTGAATGATGAGAAGATGAAGCATGAACCCCTTCACTGCACATCAAATCGGAATCCAACTTCCTTTACAAAGCAAGAGGAGGAGGAGTTCCGCCAAATGCGTGGTTCACTTTTTCTCAAATGTAAGCAACACCTTCATCCCATCAAGAAACTGTTTAAGCAATTGGAGCACCTGGAGAATCATGGTATTACCGAAGGTGAAAAATTTAATATGGTGATACTTGGCATCGGCGAGCATATCCGCTCTTTGGTTGGAGATATCGACGACAGAGAAGAGCGTCATACCTGGAGGCATCTTTACTGGGAGTTTGTGCAGAATTTCTCTGAAAAAGATGCATTGCAGTTGGAACAGGCCTATAGTGTGGCGCGAAAGAGCGAGTGGTTAAAACAGGAGGCATCCTCCAGTAGGTCCTACGAAAGAAATCGGGATGAGCAAGATCGTAAGGCTCACGATCATCGGCACCATCGCCATCGGCAGCGAACACAGGAGGGTCAACACTCGCAACACCGCGACGATCCCATCGGTGGCAGAGATGGCAGTAAGTCAACCGACCGCCATCGTAGTCGCTCTCACCATCGTCATGGCGGCGATGCAGTGAGAACGGAAAATCTGAACGCTAGTAGTGGTGTTGTAGGGGGCAGTGGCAGTGGTAGTGGTACTGTCCATCGTAGTTCCTCATCTGGTACTGTTGATAAACGATACGGTGGAGACTGGTCCAACCGTAGAAACTTCAACAACACAACTGAAAGGTCGTTGAAGCACCGCATTAATCGGAATGATTGGTCTGGGAGCTCAGGGAATCTCAAAACTGATCGGTAGGTTTGATTTGCGTTCTACATTTGTTGCTAGATCTTATTATAATGCATGCCATCTGTTGCAGGTACAACAATGCGTTCAATCGACCCAGTCCTGGTTTCTCTGATGCTTTCAACAACCCCAGCATGCATAATCTCCATGGCTCCCGCGAACATAACCTGAATTCTACCTCCAGTAGCATTCCCCCACCCTATTCCTTCCAGCCTCCATCCTCGCAGTTTTCTTGGCAGGAACAAAAGTCGGCCCCGTTGCTCTCCTCTCCGCCTTCTATGAGTGGCAGCAGCATCATTCCTCCACCAATTGTGTCACCACCTTCCTCCTCGTCATCTCGCGATCCCCGGTTGTTTCAAAATCGTCAGTAGGGAAGTAGTGTACTTCCCTTTGTGCTTGTACAGTGTAGAGACTTTGTGGTGATGATGAGGATGACTGTCCGACGCTTTCATTTGTCCTTTTACCTCTTGTATAGATAGTTTTCTCGCGTGTTATTCCCCTCACCCCAGCTACTACGGCTTGTCATTCTCGTCATCATCACATAATGTCATTTTTTACCGACTATTAGTGTAATGCAATTCTTACCGAAGCGGTTCCCTCCCAATAAATCTGCATATTTTGTACGCAGGCGGTCGTCCTGAGCCCCCTGCGGTGGTGTGACTTGGTTATATTGGGAAGGCTACTGGTGTAGGGGGACACGGAGCGTGGCACGATTACGCTGACGGACTGGGAGGTTCACCGAGACGGTTTTAGTTGCAAGTTGATCATCATATGATTTGTCATGCTTGGTGTCTGCTTCGAGTCTAGCGTGGGGATACCCTCCTGACAGTAGCGGGTGCCTTAAATTCGACTTAAATTTAGCCTGAAGAAACTTGGTGATCGTGGCACTAAAGCGTGTTCTCGCAGGGGTGCATGTTTGCTTAAAAAGTCGGTGGAGCGGGCTTTTAGCCACTGGTAGCCTCGATGGAGTTACGACGTCAGTAAAGATACGTTAGAGCCGCTAATTTAGATGTGAATTTGAATCCTTAATTTGGAAAGGGTTGCACAAAAATGCACCAGCATTTTCACCAAGTATGCCAGCATTTTCTATACATATCAACTTAAAACTTTGAGAGTTAAAAACAGTAGGTCTCAAAGCACGAATTACTTGTGTCAAGAATGTGAAAACCCATTGATTTAACACTACATTAATCCAATTTGTTGGCAGAATAATAATTTTCAATTTCTATGGCAGTAGGTGAATTGCATGGGTTTGCTTAGGCAACTAATTTTAAAGCTCGTGCGAGTTTGACTGCCTCCGAGAGCCTACTGATATTTCCAGCCTTGGCAATCAACTTCAAATCATTGCAAATGCATTTACACCACAGCGAGTAATCAATAACATCGATTTATCGACATCACCAGCCCTAGATCAACTCACGTCTGAAATCAATTTACTGCAACAGGGTCACAAAGTCGACACGACATTGGAGAATGGAGTCATTCCACTACACTCGAATCTACACTTTCACACGGGATAATCTAAAACACACGCTGAACGATTATTTCGTAACAGGTCGATTTTTATTGTCGAATCACTTCTCAAGGAAGCTAACTTAGAACTTTTTTACCACTAGCATAGCCATTTGTACCTTGACGGTAATATTGCTTTGGACCAAGAAAACAATCACCAACGTCCGTAAATTGACTGTATTATCACACATAAACCCAACCATTAGATTCGCACTTTTCTCAGGCCTTACATCACAATCCGTAGGCTTGTAGCGAAACAATCACAAGGGCAGTGTGGCTATCGATTACCAGACCAGTTCGTTCTGTGCGCTGATTGGTGGGTAGGCGTGCTCCTTACCTAATTGGCAGGCGATGCTGAATGGAGAGCACGTACGCACCCGGTCTTTACCGCTGCGTAAACAACATACGCACTCTGCTTAGGCAGACATTTCAGCCAATAAAGTATGTGGGTTAATTGTGGCGTTTTTACAGCTCTCTAAATAATGCTTATTTTCCAAGAACAAAAGCAACGGTTGGTGTAACAGCGACTCGTTTAGTAAACTGTAGAAGTGTGTTTAAGGGTCGCGATCATTATTACACACGGGAATAGTGTAAAATCCAATTATGGATTGCAAGTGATGTTTCCCAAGTGCCTCCAATAATTTTATTTGGCATATCATAGGGAAATTATTGAGGCAAAAGTGGCGCAGAGGGTGTAGCATAAGACAAATTAATAAACTAAGAAGAAGTGAGCTCAAATTGTCTATTATTGTCGACATGGCGCTGATTTCTTAAATTCACATTAACCAACGCTAACAAGGCCTTGGTTACAGATCGATATTTTGATTTAAAATAAAGTTGCTACTTATAATTTAAAGTACGGCACTAGAAGTGATGCTACTACGATGATGGTGAATAGTACCGGATTTGGAATCCAGTTAACTTAAGGTATAAATGGATGAACGCCAAAAAGCCATTTCCCAAAACCTTTGTCCTGCGTATTTTGTGCGTGCCATATGCAAATAAGAAACCAGAAAATTCTGGAAGAAAGTTACTTTTGTGGAAAATTTGAAAGTTGAATGACATAAAATTGTTTTCACTCATATCATAAAAGTCAACTGCATGTAGAAGAAGAAAGAATTTTGAGAAGGGGAAAAGCATCTTCCGAATAATGTTTTGACCGAAATTTCTTTATGCTAGCAAGTGATATACGAGCGACCGGTTCGTAGAATGTTCCCCTTGCAAATAGTCAAGATACATGCAGACTGAACTCTAAAACAGGTCTCACTTACAACCTTTACACCATGTCATAAAAGAGTGCAAATTTTAGGCTATTGATGAAGATTGGTACAAGTTTAAATCATTGCAACCTTTGATCCATTCTACTTAGATCAAATTTTATGAATAATTAACAAGGCTTTTAAGAAAACTACTTCAATCACTTTATCTGATCTGTAAGATTTTGTAAATCGGATCATCACTGGAGAAAATGTTGGGCTTTTGTGCTGCAAGTGAATGTGGGAAGCCAAACCGTAATCCACACAGAAACAACAGTATCATTAAGGCAGTGGTTACTTTTAACGCCCTTTCAAATTATGTAATAGATGCCCTTGATTTAAAGGAACTGAAATAAATCGTATCAGTTATTTAGTACCCAGTTTGGTAGAGTTATACATCCCCAAACTGAACAAATTCTTGGTCGTTCATATGAAGATCCAATTTGTCTGATGTAATTTACGAAACAGGTTCTCACTCATGACTTTGAAACGTTCCCAACGGGAATGGGATACCTTAAAAACATGGCCTTATGTGCATGGGTGATAGAAATGAAATATACGGCCGGATCAGGCAATATATAAGTAGACAGTGATTGTTTAAGCGGAGAGGAACATGCGAATCGACTGTCAGTGCACAATGCAAATTTGCATCCACTATTTCCTTTCACTGGTTACCCGTTGTTCTGCCATTATTTCAACTGACTTCTGAGATAGAAAAATTAAGCAAGTCACGGGAGGTTTCTTTGTCCTCGCTCCAGTCACTCCAGCCTTTCTATTGGATATAGGGTACCAAGATGTCAATTAGCATTTCATTAAGGTGCCTTGGTAAAATATGCTTAAATTCCCTTGCAGGTTGTCATTATTACTGGAATTACAGTCCAGGATCCTGTTTTATTGACCTAGTCATCCCCCACTGGCGACTCAAATGATTTGTGCAAAAGTAATCAAGAAAATACTGTAAGAATATTCTATTTCAAATAGTCAGTTAATGCATCGTGGTAGTAGATTGACATTCCGCTGACAAACAACAGGCTGTGAACTAACGCCTAGAAGTTATCAATATCACGGACAATTTAATCCCTATTGACAGCTTTAACGGCCTTTTTATCGCAAATAACACACCAGATTTCTATTCTGGTCCTCCAAAATGACTTTGAATCCAGTTTTTTGTCAGCTACTAATGTACGCATCTGGATGCCAGAAGTAAACATAGATGCGCCAAGGTGATAATCGAGCATGCTATATATTTGGCTCACTTAAGAGATTCTTCGGTTCTCTAAACTGCTGAAGTCACTACTTGTTTCATTAACCATTTGATGCGATATTATCAATTATATGAGTTCCTCAAATGGGAAAATCAGCTGGGTCGTGAGCACATCATGCAAAGACAATCGACTGACGTACTTACTAGCTGCTGTGAAAGCGGGGGTGGATGACGTTGGGCATCTGAAAAGATTCTAAGCTCGCTCTCCTGATTTTGATCTCTGTTCCCATCCTGTTATATCGAGAGGTGAGCCACTCGAATATTTGTGTCATACTTGTAGATAGCCATGGAGGTGAGGCGACGTCCAGCTATTTCAAAGAGCCCCTTCAAGCTTACAGTCAACCTTGTCCATTGCACCAATTTTTGTGTTTCCGAGATCCTGCAAGGTGGAAACCTCATGAATTTCCCACCATAATATGGGAACGTGTTCCAGTGATGAGCCTTGAAATGTTGTCAAGACCGACTGGTGTCCTGGGAGAACCATTTGTTGTGTAAGGGCAATTAACTACTCCCTACATTTCCTTAAATATTGATCCTTTGTCAGAAGTCTTGGTTCTTCTTTAGTTTTATAACTGACTAAATTATATGATGTTTATTTATTCAGCAGTTCCAGTTTCGTTTCTCCCACCTAGATTAAAACCTACTGCCTCCCAGTACTATATGGAAAATCGTTTTTATGCCTGTTGAGAAATTGAAGCTTTTATTTGGAACTGTACAAGTGCAACCCCTTCGTAAATTATTTTACGACTCACCTTATGGCTTAATTATTGCTATTAAAGTCCAAATAGTAGCTGCGCAGCTCTAGAAAGTTCCGTATTTTTTGAAATTCCTTAAAGTGCATGATTTGAGAACAAAAAAAATAAAATTTGAGTCTGGGGCTACCAAAGGTAGGATTTGCAACGCCTGGAATCTTTCCTACAGACGAAAGAAGTCATTACATGTGGGCAGAACATGTATTGTTGACGTGTTGAAGAGTTGCAGAGGGGAATTGGCATGCACCAGAGGCCATACTGCCTACTGGAAGTACAAAAGTGGAGTTCTAAGTGCCCCCGGGTCATAAATGAAGAGTTAGACAAATAATCAAAGCATCTTCTCTTGAACGCCATCCTCTGTACTCTTTATAAACAACCTCCCGACTCGGCCGTCGCAATTTAGTCGGTGCTGTACGTAAAAACACCCACGAACCAACCGTTCCAGTTACTGAATTTCCTTGTAACTAAAATGATATTTACCGCAACACCACTGATCCGTCTTGGCGGTTCCACTGGATCTGAAGTTTCGTCCTGTTTGGAAACTGTATTGGTGGAGGGAGAAATGTGCTAGACATCTCGTATTTCTATCGCTAGTCGTAAGTACGCTGGCCCCAAAGCAGGCATTAAATAAGGGAAGGTGTTTGAAATAGTTTTGTGGGATAAGGCATTTCTTTTATTCCTCCTTGCCATTTTGCTTGCACTTCAGTGCTGCCAGCCATATCGTTCTATCTGAGTTCCATCCAGCTAGCAGAGAGGCAAAAGAGGCATCGCGTGTCAACTTAATTGACATCTTCACGAGGTACCGTAGACAGCTCCGTAAAGAACTTTTTTACGATTGGTGACACTTTGGTTGTAAATAACACTTTTGCAGAGCAGGGGACCGGGGTAGGGGCGCCAATGGGAGTCATTACAGATTCCTCCATCCACACCACGTTCCCTCCTTCCGTCACGTTAAGATTTAGCATTCGGTAAAAGAAGTCAGTGTTTTTCCTTAGAGTTTGGGTTCGTTTTCTACTTCCACCAATGTAGTGTCCCGGGCCTTTCATATAGGCAAAAGAGGACATAACACCAGGGTAGAATTTATCTTATCGAGCTGGCCTGGAGGACATATTAATGGACGGAAGCATAACAGCCGTGCCCTTCTGTGCCCGCGTAACCAAAACTAAAAGATAAACAAACAACCAGTGCATTACACTATGGCGTGGTGATAAATCACGTATACGACAAGCGATGTGGGATAGCACTCTTAAGCATTCCTTTTTCAAGTATTTAAAAATAAATAGAGAAAACCTAAAATCTCCCAAAGGCCCTTTTCCGAATAGAAACATTTATCTTTTAAGACAGCATAAGCATCCATATTGAGTGCAGTGACCTCAAGGCAATTACATATCCATGAAAATGCTTTCTTCTTTTGCTCTTGCTCTTTTAGGCATGAACAATAGGAACAAACAATTGAAGTAAAGCGCTGGAGTCTGATAAAGTTGGCCTTTGCTCTACTCTTTTTCAGCAGAACCAAAACTACAAAGTGAAAAAAAACCAACCAAAAATCTAGCCGACCAGTTCTTACGAGATCAACGTCAATCTTAGATACAGACTAATAAGGCTAAAACAAAATTTGAAGTGTTTAGTTTTTGCTACTTAGGAACCAAAAGTGGTGGTAACTGATGCTCCAAACTCTTTGAAAGAAATTACGACTCGATACACACCTTTATTACGATCTTAATCGGTGGATGGCC